TGATTTGATGCACTCCTTGCAAGGTTACATGCGTCACTTTTGCAATGTTGACCTTGCGTGACGTCATTTATGACGTCATCAAGGTCATATTAGTTTTTCGTGAATAACTCCCGATCCAATTAAAGGGACTATCCCACCTTTAACATGGGGTTTGAGTTGAGATAGCCAAGTTTGCGGCGAGGTTCAGAAACCACTATCTATCTAGGTTGCAACCCCCGCGGCCTCTTGGTGTTGAAGAAATTCGTTCCCTTCATTTGAAAATGGGCCTTGTACAAGGCCCTATCTTCAACATGGAGCGACCGTTAGTGTGACGTCACCTCGTTTAGTCATTCTGATTTAAATGGGTTTGTTCGTTGAAAAATCGCTTAAAACTTGGTCTGAACTTTGTTGTGGTGCCTACAGAGTAAAAAGAATCAGCTTTATGACAGTAATGTGGCCTGGGGAAGGAGGTAATTTTGGGCTGTGACGTCACATATTTGAAAGTTTGTGTTTGGATTATGGGAAGCCTAAGATGTTTAATGAAAAATAAATGCCAGAACCGTGTTCCTGGTCATCCAATCTATAAAGTCGGGCACAATTTAACTGGTTTTAACAACATTTTAGAAGGTGGGATAGTCCCTTTAAGCTAGCGAGTCGGGAAAGCCACCAATGGACTCAGGAAGACCTGCCGAATCGAATGATATGCGACATATGACCTCTTTCGACCAACTTCGTGACCTGGGGGCGCTGACCTGACCTTGACCTGAGGTCAACACCCTAAGTTGACCTGACCCAAGCAAAAAGTATATCATTCGACGCGCCTGAGCGAGGCAAACACGATGCTGCCAAAGTCGGCGCTCTACGCCCGTTTTTGCGAAGTTATTCACCAAAAACTGAACCGTACCTTGGGGCACTTGACCTGACCTCAGAGGTCACCGGTTTACCTAGGACCTTAAAATCGGGTACCGTAAAGTGGGGCTATTTGAAACGGATTTTACAGTTTTTGGCCTCTCCCTTTAAGACGGTTCATATTTCTTATAGCATGTAAATTGCAAAAATGTAGTTCTCCGTAAGCTCTTTCATATAGGTGCATTTTGGTTCAGCTAGTAATAATGATTAAGGATATTTCTTTAGTTGAAGCCTGTCTCAAATAGCCCCATAGGGTGGGGCTATTTGAGACAGTCTTAGTTACGAAGAAAGTGAAGAAAATCGGTCACGCTAGAAATAATTTTTTAAATGCCATGCGATTCGAAATTACATTTTGATCATTATGGCAAAAATTATTTTTGCAAAGACAGCTATATTTCCTTTATATTCAATCTTTTCCTTTTTCGTAGGATGCTTCATTTCGGTAGGTTATAGAATTGCATCACTATATGCTAAGGCTGTCATAATATGATGTGACCCTAAACTTTCAAATTTGCAGAATGATCATCAAGGACTATTTTAAAGTCAACAACAGTAAAATTTTGAAAGAAAGTTTTTGTATATGGCCCTGGTGGCGTGAAAACAGACATACTGAAAGTCGGTGGGGCTATTTGAGACAGGCTCGCTACCTAATGAAGCACACCGTAATGAATCAAACGAGCTAAAAGGTTTCCCAAAACATTTAAGTGAATGGTCTGCATGATTCCTTGTTCCATTGCACATCTTCATGCGAAGAAATAACAGAAAAATGTTAAGCGGTTTTGATTTTATGACGATTTCCTCGATCGCTGCATGCTGTATCAATCGGCCGGTTACCCTACCACATCAAGCCTACTTGCATAGGCTCACCTAACAGTACGTTCATGTGTTAAGTAATCTTCAATGGTGTTTTTTTGGTCAACCAAGGTAGACATGTGTTGATTGTCGACTAAGTCAGTGACTGATGAAGCACATTTTAAGCACATATTCATCAGAATAACTAGTTTGGTCACCAGCTAAAGGGTCGTCATGTTACACTACGAACATGTAAATATTGCTTGCTGCTAAATACCATGAACCCACTGCACGTTTATGACCACGACCGATTCATCGGTGTTGCTCATGTCGAACGTTCGATGCACTTCAAGTAGATGGTGGTAAGTCTTTTCGGGTGCAATCGCATCACCATTATCAGTAGCTATTTGGCATATCGGTTGAGGTTTGACCAAGTGGGCATCATCGGGATTCTGAGACAATGGGTTACGCAATCGGCAGTAACGTTAACAATGTATAACATTTTCATGAAAAATATGCTTAGCCTATAAGTAAAACGGTAGTAACGATAGATGCAGTGCCGAAGCTGTTAAAATTTCAACTATATTAAGCGGCAGGTAGGGGTCCTTTTCGAGCAACTTATATTGTGCGTTTTTCTGTATTTCGTATTTTACACCAAATTTCTTTCAAAACTTTTCGAAATTTTCAAAAAAGTTATTCAGGTCATTCATTGTTTAAATCCACATCAGCCTAAGCAAAAATGACGAAAAAATATCGAACGGTTTTCATTTTACAGGGATTTTTCTAAACCACTACCTTACTGTCTCAAATAGCCCCACTGTCTCAAATAGCCCCACTTTACGGTACCAATCTCTGCGTCTCGTAACGGCGCACACGCTCGTTCTTTCCGTGACGCGCTAGCTCCACCAGGGGCAAAACGGCGAGGGGGTCGTTCTCCCCCCCCCCCCCCACCCCTCCGCCGGCGCGTATGTAGAAAACCAATAAGTCCGGCGAGGGTTAAAGGTAGTGTGCCAGCTTTCTTGGACCGTATGGAGTTAATGGCCCAGATAAGGAGAACCGGATTTTTAGAACTTATCCATACCTTCAAAACTCATGGAAACGTCTTAAATTCTTCAAATTTTGAGTACCCCAGTGCGAAATTCGCCCCGACGGGTTGTCGGTCGTACCCCAACCACATTTCACACCACTATGAACAATAAATGCACACACTGAAATCGCTATTACCGATATGCTCATCCAATCAGGTTTCGATAAACCCGTTCATCATCATCTCCTGCAGTTTCGAACACGCCTGTTAGGTGGCTTCTGATGCTCGTCGAGGTCGGAATTTCCAAATACGCGTGGTGCGTCGGGCCGCGCGCTCTGACTTCGGCCAAGAAAAATGCGTCAGCTGATCATTGTCATTTCTGCCACTTGCGTGTGGTGAAATGGGGTCATAACTTATAAGACGGCTTTTTCATATCAATTATTTTACATAAAATCATATTTCAAACCATAAATAATGTTCGACAGCCAAATAAAAGAAACAATACAATACGGGCTTACAGCTTAAGGCTCGACATTGTGTTGTCTACGATTAGACAGCTGATAACTAATCCCCGTACGTCGTATGGTCGTAACACTATAATGACCTTTGCTTATTGTCACAAGTGCGCCGCATTCGCGATTGTTGCCCGACGCCTGTTTGCAGGTGAGCCCACTACAGTTGTTATACATATCTAAAAACCGAAAAACTTTTAGGCGAAAAAGGCACTATTCCAGGCCCATTTTTGATTTTTTTGCGATATTAGGTAAAAACAGAAGCTTCTTATCCTAGGAAAAATAAAATGGGAAATCTTTCAAAGGTGGCACACTACCTTTAAACTGGAATAGCAGTTTCGTAGCTTGAGCTAAGACTAGCACAAATCAGGAGCTATTACGGCCCAACGATCACCCTAGACGAAGATATTCAATTTCTCGTTCCGTAAATAGTGCCTTTGCAGAGGAATGCAGCCACGTCATCGTCAGCCAATCAGCATGCTGCTCACAGCGAATGCAGCATGCGTAGGTAGGTTTGAACAGGAATTACGCAATATGATTGGTCAACTCGTAAAAAAGCTTCGCGTCAAATAATATTTTATATAGAGTATAGTTCATGTTATACTTAAATATAGAAAATAATTTTATTCATAAAAAGGTGTTAATTAATTTTCTGGTCATTTTAAGCAAAATATCATAAATCCATTGCAAAAAACTAATTTGAGGAAAGTAAACTATTCCATTTAAATAATGCTGCCTTTTTACAAAAAGCACAGCCCGCGTTGCACCGTAAGCCGATAAGAGTCACGGAAGATACACCCAGAGTGTATCTTCCATTCATCCCCCATTCACATATATCCGCAATCACACTGATCTATGTTGCATTACACCCTCGCCCGTACTGACGTTTTTACAGCTGCTAACGTACTCGTATGTATGTACGGGGAATCGAGGTCGATCGAGTCCCGTTCCCAGCCGTTACGCCCCTGATTAGCTGGACCTCCGGAAAAAGGAACGTATTGCACGCGAAACTGATGGTACCTATTTCAACATCTTATGTCTTCGTGTACCGTCCAATGTTAATGATCCAAATGCAGGGAAATCAGAAACCGCTAGAACTCTTAAGTGAGCTTATAGATATAGATAGTGTTCCTATTTTCGAGTTCTGACTTCATATTCGCATCTGTTCTATGCAAACACGATGCATTCATGCATTTGGGATAGGTCGTCACAAAGAGACGGTTGACTAGCTTACATTCACACTAAAAAGCTTAAATTTACATTGTCTAAAAAGACTAGCTTACATTACATTCAGGAGGGGCGAGTCTACTATTGGTTGTAATAAGTGTTGAGTGTAAATTATTGCGCACTTTTCGGACATCTTTGGACAAATGGCTGGCTTGGACATTTTGGGCGGACAGTCGACGAAATAATTGGACACTGGGCAGACATTGGACATGCATTTTCTGAAACTGGCACCACTAATTGATACCTCGTACGAAACTCGTTTCAGTCGTTAGTGACTGGGCGTGGTTGGCACGGAACTAGGAAACAATTGCCGTCACGTGTGAAAACCCGTACGAAAATATGTGCCGCTTCTACAGCTGAAGAATGGCTGGGTCAGTGCATTTGAGATTGGCCTCGTCAATGGTTCCATCACGAGACGGACTTTTCTGTTTACCGTGACGGTACAGCTCATTCAATGGTTTTTCCAGATATAGGGAAAGGAACATGACTTTCGATTGTGACTAAGATAAAAGTTCATTTCCACTTCACTCATTTCCACATAAAAACACAATTCATCATCCATGACATAATATATTATTAATAAAGAGCACAAACACAGTCGACTGTTCAAAACAAAAAAGTCCCTACCGCCTGCCCTTGCCCCGCCCGCGTCCTCCGCCTTTGCTGCCGCCCCTTCTCGGCGCACCGCCCCCTCTGCCGCCACCGCCGCCGCGCGACTTTCCCCCGCGGTTCTTGCCGACGCCGACGGTGCTCCGCTTCCTCCGCCGTTCCAGCTGGTCACGCTGCTTGAGAATCTGGTCCTTGGAGCGCATCTCGGGCCGTTTGGAGTGCGGCCCGCCTGCGCCCAGGGCCGGGCCAGACTGATTCTTTCGGTGTCGGATGACTGCGGAGATTGAAATCATACGGTCACAAACGGCACTTGTATGAAACATACAAAGGTTTCACCAATCGTGTGCATTTGAAATGGACGCCATTTAATTGCGTCCCAGAAAAGCTATTTCTGGCACCTAAAAGCTGACTCGCCCCAAAATTGGTCCTCAGCACCTATTTGGTGGATACCAGCACCAATCATGGAAAATGACCTTCATTAGCTGTTTCTGGCACCTATTCATCGGTACGCCTTACTCTTTTTTCTGAATCTGGCACCTAAATGCTGAGCGTAGCACCAATCTAGTAGAAAAATGAACTACTGGCTGGTAGAATCATGTTGTTCTGGTATAATGACCCCTGGAGTCTAGCCTAAAGGTTGCCAGTGCAGCTACACTCTAAGACAGCCCCGTAGTGATCTCAGCATTGTATATGACGTTTAAGTAAGCAAATAATATTGATTTGTTTGAAAAAACAATGTCATTTAAATATTTAAAAGTATTTATTTGTAATGCTTAAAGGGAAACATTTTTGTGAGTAATTGTCTCGATTTTGACCATTAAAACGGGTATTGTACTTTTTGACGTCATCAAATAGCTCCAAAAAAGAAATGTAATGTTTTCATTCCGTTCAAAGCCGCTGAAGAAACGCGGGATCTTGCGTGGGACATTGTCCGTTGTTTGCCGCGCAGAGTTGTGCGGTGGTTGTGCCTTTTTCATCCGTTTCTTACTTATGTCATATGTGTGCATGAAGCTTTGATTTTGTTTTTGGTTATTGTATGGCCGGTCAGTCAAACGCCCCTGTAGAAACCGGATGCTGCGTTTGATCGAGATGGAGTCAGACGATGATTGCAGAAAGCTAATAATATTGAAAAGAGGGCCGGTTGCGTGGCATGTCTGTTCAGAGTTGACATTTTGCTTTACTCCAGTTTATGACCTGAGAGCCTGGCTGGAAGTGACGGATCCAAACTTTTCACGTTAAAATGGCTGAGGGTGCAATAATCTCTAGTCTCTTCTCTACATAGCGGGCTGGTATAGGAGCGTCTTGCTATGCTGCACCATAGCTGGCTAGTGATTCTCTTTTGGCTAGAAATGGCATTAATCATTATCTCCACTGGCGAAAATGGCACTTGACATCACCGAATGCAACGTTCATGTTGTTAGGATACATAAAATCAGGAAGATTACGCGAATTAGGTAGGCAAACGTGGAATAAAATAGGTGCTGGATGTTTTGGTTTTGGTGCTGAATCAGCAAACAGCAAATACGGAGTTCAACTAGACGATCTGGCAACTTTAGGCTGTGTGCAAGCAATTAGGTGCCAGATTCAGATATTAGGGTCGAATAAGCATTTTGGGGCTGATCAGCAATTAGGTGCCAGAAACAGCTTTTTAGGGACCAGAAACAAATATTCCCCATTTGAAATTATCACAGATAAACAAAAACGATTCTAACCAAACTCATCAATACGACTAAAGAACCGTCAAACGTAAGTTATCACATTTTCTACAGTTCCCAAGTCGACCGGTAAAAATGACACCCACCTTTGACGCCGCGGCCCCCGCGCCGAGCCGGCGCCGCGTCCTCTTCGTCCTCCTCCCGGGCGTCCACCTGCGTCTTCCGCTTCCACTCATCATACTTGCCCGCCTTCTGGAAGGTGGCCGGGATCCAGACGCCCGACTCCGTGCGAATCTTTTTGTTCTTTCCGTCCTGAGGAAAAACATACAGCGACATCTATCAGTGAACAGAAGTAGCGTTCGAGTGTAAAAATGACGTAAATGCCATACTGCCCGTCGTTACTTTCGCAGATGATTAAGCGGGCTGATTGGGAAAGCGAATGATAAGCAGTTATATTGGAAGCTCACCAATGCGTTTTAAAAACAGCTTAACGCATTTATCGATAGTTTACCGTCAACTAAAGCCGAGCCACTCACGTTAGACTGCCCGACGTATTTCTTTTTCTTGGGGTCCCAGCGTTTCGTTTGTGATTTGAGTTTGTGTCGCGTGTCGTCATCCATCGTGAGATCGAGTACCGCTTCGTTGGCATCGCGTTCGAAGGCGCTCGTCACCGAATACCTGAAAGAGAGGAAGATTATCAGTCACCCGAATTAATATCAACGATATCATATCAACGATATCAAAACACTTCACTTGTCCCCTTATCAGCAAAAACAAGATGATTGCCAAATAACTAAAAGTAACGAAGTAAATCACCGTGCCCATCACCGCCAAGTTCATTGATACCAAGCTGCAGCACATACCCGGCTTCTGTGTGATGATCCTTGGCCTGATAGGGGATATAGTTTTCCTCATCTTTGCCGGTTTGCACCATCTTGCGGCGTTTATTGCGATCTCGTTGTCGGTGGTCGAACTTGCGCTCCTGAACCACGCGGCTGAATGTGTCGCTGATGTCCTGCTCCGAGGACGCTGCTAGTGCCACCCGCTCAGGTTCGGCCGCTGCGGGGGCGAGGAGAGACGGCACTTAACGTTAAATGGGGCTGGGATAATCAAATGAGTACTGGAATACATTCGACCAGTGACAAAGATGCTTGCTAGAGTTTAGAGAGAGAGAAAAAATATGCTACAGGGTTTGGCTAAAAATATGCTCATAGTATGACCGATGTATGACTAGTATAGCTACTAGCTAGTATGACATCGATCACGACCCATGCATACAAGGTCAAGGGAATGCAAGCGTTACACGCCAAAACGACTAAACTGTCCAGAACACGGCTCTTGCATGTACTTACACTTCTCTTCAGCGGTTTCGTCGCCATCTCCTTCTTCCTCTAGTTCTTCGGCCTTCCGTTTGGCGGCAGCACGCTCAATGACATGCTCGTCTTTATTTCGCTTCTGCTTCATCACCTTGGCACCGTTCTGATGTGTGGTGACGCCGATTTCGAAGATCGTCTGTAATCATAACGTGAATGAGACGCCCTAACCGGAGACCAAAAGATTAAATCTGCAGTTCAGAAGTACCTACATGAAGGCGGTGCACAATTCAGGTAATAAAAAAGGTGTTCTCTGAACATAAACTTGCTAACAGGCATAAGCAGTTTCACACATGTCAACTGTGCATTGTAGTCACCAGTATAACGGCTTTTGGGGCGATTAACGGAGCGAGCGAGAGGGTGGGCCTTGCACGTGCGAAATTGCGAGGGGGTACCTCCAATTGACTTGTGCACGGCGCCCCACTAGCCGGTCTCTAGCGTTATGCCAAATTTGAGCACTATCGGCTCAGCCGTTCTCGAGATCTGGAAGCGGCACCCTGCACGTGCGCACGTGCAAAATGGGTGCCAACTGACTTGTGCACGGCACCCTACCAATTGCTCCGTAACCGTGTACTAAATTTGAGCGCAATCGGTCCAGCCGTTCTCGAGATCTGGAATCGACCCCTGCACGTGCGCACGTGCAGCAGCACCCCCACTCAAGCACATGGATATGCATTGCCTAGTGGGTGCCTACATACATGCTAACTTTCAGCGCAATCGGCCCAGTAGTTACCGAGGTACCTAACGGGTGGTCAGTATGAAACTGGACAAAATTTGATTAAGCATAGCGTCTCCAATTATGGACAGATTTTAATTATTTTTGGTAGGTGAATACTTCCAGTTATTTTGTATTAGCAGCTCAGATTTCAACTTTCTGCTATTAACTAGTAGGAAACATTGCGCCGATAAGTCAGCAAGCGTTCCGGGACCTGTTCGCGCAAGTTTGTGAGAATAACCCATATTACAAAAATGCTTCCATTATGCGTCACATTACGCCATAGGGTGTCACCAGATCTTAAGAATATGTGATCATCGATAACTCCTGAGGACTTGCAGATGTTTTGCATGGTGGGAACGGCAAGATTACCAAGAAAATGCTGATTCAGCTCCTGAAGAAACAAACCGGCGCCGTCACCGAACAGTTGGGGCTCTCCTAGTGATCTCTGGAAAGAAATTTTGGGATCTTCAAAACATATGACTAATTAATATGTCAACAAGCAGGAATCAAGTACAGAAATAGGATAAAGGTGACGGAGACACAATTTCGTACACAGAAAACCCGCCTGCGCCGTCTGTCACAGGGTCCAATGCAGAGTAGCAAAAACATGGAGGTGCATATGGATGATGAATCTTATTTCACCTACAGTGGCAGCCAAATGCCTTCCATTGCCGAATTTTACACCTCATCTGGTGGAGACACTATTCCACATGCGGATCTCACCTCCTTTTTCGACCTGAGAGCAAGTTATCCACCCGAGATGCCCGTCTGGCTTGCCACGAGCCCAAGGGGATCAAGCGTCCAGTTACTTGCCGAGCACAGACAATGTAACGGGCAAACTGTGCTATGAAAAGTGTTTGAATGGCGCGTTGTTACCACTATTGAGTCTCAGAACATAGAACATGATGCTCTGTTAGGTTCTGACCTTGCAACAGCCACAGTACGCGCGCTAGACCACGAAACTTCTTGAGGAGGCTGGGGTGCCCGAAATAGCACATGACATGAACCTGCCATGTACCCCTCAGATTTAGCCCATTGAGGATCTGTGGGGGCTCATCAAACAGAAAGTGTATAAGGGAAGGTGGCAGGTCAGCTGAGACGCACAACTGAAGCGGAGAATCCAGCAGGCCATCCGTCAAATCGACCCGGAGGTGCCGCGAAAGACAAAAGCGGGGCTGCCAGCGCGCGTGCGCTTGGCGGCTGACAGAGGTCCAGTGTCGCAGATCCATTAGGGCGAGCGTGATCACAACAAAATAATGGCACAGTAACGCGATTTCCGTTGCTTTCGCTTGAAAACTTTTGACACAGTAACAATTCAAACTTTGTCCAGTTTCATACTGACCACCCGTTATTGCAACTATTACAAAAGTGACACCTCTTCGTTTTGCACGTGGCACGTGCATAAGAGGTCACCCACATGCATCGGGAATAGTCCAATACTTGGTAGAAGGAATGAAGCTACCCTACAAAAATTACCGCATGTAAATCGGTCAAGTGGTTGCTGAGATATAAGCGTCGCAGAATCGTGACCACGGCTGGCCGGCCGGCCGCTCATACTCAGAAATTTCCGTTATTCTAGGTAAGACTCCGCTCGCTTCGCTCGCTCCGTAATCATGCATCGGTGTCGAAATGGGTGCTATCACGCAACTTCACACCTTCCTTGGCGATTTGTTCTAAAATTTCCATTACTTATCAGAAAGGCAACTCGACCTCATCTTACATTTGTTGAATTAGAAAAAAATCAACGTCCCATCGAGAACTCACGAAACTTCCCTAGTTCAGCTTTATGACAGTAAGATGTTCAAACTCTAATTGAAAAGTTAGACTTCGAAGTAGCCCAGTGACTAACCCGTGATGACTTGTAGCTTCTGACGGCGTCGAGCAGCTGTGCTCGTGTATCGTCCGCCGCCGTCGCCCCGGCCGTCCGCAGGAGGGGGTGCACGCCGAGCGAGCGCGAGCTCTCCTCCTTGAGCCGCTTCACGCTGGCCAGAGAGGCGGCCGGCCGAGAGCGCAGGTACTGCTTGAACGCATTCCGGCTGCTCTGGAGCGCCGAACGCTGGAAGAGAGGTGGCTGATAATAGGCTGTCCACTGTTTTTCATTATAAATCGTAGACCTGTGTACGTACAGGTATACAGAAGTTTACGCATAAATAAGTGCTATTATGGCGAACAATGCTATCGGGAGCACCAAAGAACGCTAAAGTCGTTACAATTATAATATATTACGTATCAAAGAGCACCAACAGAAAATGCATGGTAAAAGGGATGTTTGGCCAAGCTGGCTATCGAAACACACAACACCATCAGTTTTGGGTCAGCGTGAAAGGTAACAACGGTACATACTAGAACACGAGGTCACTTTTAAAGAGCCTAAGTAAGCACACGGTTACTTTTTATCAAATTCATGCTAATGCGCTTTTACAAACTACTTTAAAATCTTCAAGCATAAGTATCTCCGACAATGAGTAAGATACGAGATGCTCTTTGAATTGAGACTTAATATAAAAACACAAAAGGGCAGGAACTATTTCTTAGATTCTTATCTGAACAGCATGGCGAAAAACACTTTGAAGTCCCCTACACCTTTTCACTTTGTCGGTATTTGCGCACCCTTCATGATGCAATGCAACAGGGTCGTGAGTTAGAGCAGAATGTCGCCATATCTAACCCACCTCGATCTGTATCAAACGGGATATCCCACTCATTTCCAGGTTTACCTGACGAAGCAACATCATCTATGCAGTCAGAGAAAATGAAAAGCATGCCAAAAATGAGGGATTAGCCTAATCCAATAACAAAGAACTTTAAGCGAATGCTCTAGTTATTATCAGCCCCCAAAGCCTTATATGGTGATAATCTAAGGATCGAATACAGGGTCATCAAGCCAGAAAAACCAACACCATCAAAACAGCATGCAAAGGGAAACAAAATAAAACGAAAACCTTTCCAGATAACTTACCGTCGACGACTCAGCCCAACCACCAACATGCACTCAATAAATTCAAAAGCGGCATTAAGTAAGCGTGCCAGGCGTTTCCTTCCCTTAAAACAAAGGACGGCGGTAAAAAGCGGATAGCCGAACAACACCATTCTATAAAGCCACCAGTCACCACCCAAAGCATATTTCATACGATGGCACCACGCGTGTAACACCAGCCTGCAGCAGCCGCTAGTTTTATTCACTTAATTTCACAAAGCGAACCGCCCATTGTTAGTTGCATTACTAGTGAACAGCGTCTATACACGTTGTGCACGCCATACTAGTGAACAGCGTCTATACACGTTGTGCACTCCATACTAGTGAACAGCGCCCGGCACACCTGACAAGGCAAGCCAAACCAAAGGTCTTCCAACGCTCCAGCTTTTTATGAGCAATAACCGTATTTTTAATAATGCTTCAATGAGAAATAGCTACTCTACTCTGCTGAGACCAATTATTTGGTTATGAAATAAACAGCATTGATAGAAGTGTCCAAATGAGTCGTCACTTTTAGCAAGACTTGAGGTAAGCAGTAACCACCGCTCAATGGTTAGTTTTTCAGCTGACAAAAGTGTACTTATTGGAATAGAAGCCAGCACGAGAAACGTAATCCCGATGGAGCCCTGATGCCACATGCTCTTCAGTCCACCACCAATAAGTGCACTGCATACAGGGATAAAAGCACAACCGTCCCACGCGCCCCGCCCGAGGCAGGGCGGTTACTCACCAGGTCGCTGGAGCTGCTGTGCCACAGCTGCATCTGCTCCGAGTCGACGTCGACCAGCTCCTGGGGCACCGTGCCCACGTACCCGTGCCAGTCGACGTCCTGGGAGGCGGGTGGTACGCGTCAGTGACTGAGTGACTTGGTGCGATCTTATTCGAACGCGAATTAACCGCGATAAAGCAAATGCTTTAAAAACAAGATGCTCAAAAACGACATAAATAAAAGCTCGAAAGTAATGGGAATGACAACAAATGTTTACATATCTCCAATGAGATACTATTCATTCAATGCAGCAATTATCTGGCCGAACGGTATTCCCGATCCACCCACCTCGTCCAGACTGGTGTTGGGTGTGAACGTGAGCTTGGAGCCCAGAAACAGGTACAGATCCAGCAGGTACGGCATCTCGTTATGGATCAGGATCGAGTAGGCGGTGCCCTGGCGACCGGCACGCGCCACACGGCCTGAAAACATGCAGCAGGTTGGTCACAGTGTGCTGGAAACAGTAATTTGTTACTAGCATACTGCTATCCCCGCCATATAAATAGAAAAGTGATAAGACAGTGGAAACAAAGCAACCAAGAATGAAATCCTTACCAGCCCCCAGCCCTTCATCCCAACCGGCCACCGTACCAGCGACGGATAGTACACGTGATACAGCATGATGGAACAACCCTCCACTGGGACTGAACGTCACGTTGCACTCACCGACTCTGTGCACGAACAGTTTGGGTTTGGCCGGGAAGTTGTAGTTGATAACATTGTCCAAGTGGGGGATGTCGATACCGCGCGCCGCCACGTCCGTCACCACCAGCACGTCCACCTGAGGGGGATACAGGTAGACTCAGTCTGGGCCGGGCCGGGACGGGGCTCGTTATGGTTATCCAGATAAAGCATGCTGCGTTTGTTCTTCATGATGATAGAAATAAGTTTGTCTTTGCCTGACATGTTTAACATCATCGATCGGTCAGCTACACCAAAACAGAGGGCAATAAAATGTGTGTTGATTAATTCTTTATCCGATTTATCTGTTCTGATTCCGATTTATCTGTCAAAACCTTAGCAGCCTACAGTATAATTCCTAGGAATTATTCACCTACCCTCTTGTGTCGAAACTTGTCTGTGTTGATTTTCCGCGCGGCCGGGTCCAGGTCCGAGTACAGGAACGTCGCGCTGATGCCCGCCTTCTCCAGAAGCTGAGGAGATGGTATCAACCAAGGGGTGATGTTAGACGGGTCGACAATCACACGAATAACATATCTAACAAACATACAAATTACAGCACAATGAACGAGCCAGCAGCATCATTACACCAGCCTCATTAACTTTGCCCTGTTCTCTTCCCTCCACGACCACTCCGACCCACCCAGCGGCGGCCTCTACCACCCGATCACCGCTCGCTCACCAGCCGGATGTACTCGACGTGATGTTTGGTGGCGGCGAACACGACAGTCTGCTGTCCGGCGGGCACCACGTGCTGCAGCAGGTGCAGCAGCACCAGACTGCGCTCGTCCTCCCGGCAGCGCAGGTAGGCCAGCCGCAGCTGCTCAGACAGCTTCGACTCCACGTCCAGTCTGACGGACAGGGGGGCAGGCTGTCAGATATAGTCCAGTCTGACGGGCAGGGACATCGGTGGTCAGATATAGTCCAGTCTGACGGTGGCCGTCACAATATATGGTCCAGCCTGACGAGCAGCAATAGCGGTGGCCAGGCGAAAGTGTTTAGCCCGAACCATAAGTGAGCAGAACTTTAGACGTACTAGCTGAAAAGAGATCAGACTAAAAGAAGAAGAAGAAGTGATGCTGTTAACAAAGCCAAAGAATCAGTCGTTTGCGCTTTCTTCCGGTGAAAACATCGGGAAAAAACTGTAGAAAAGGGGAACTAATACAGCTAATAATTAACATGATTCAGTCGAAGCGTGGCCGGTCCAGTGACCACCCCAGACTACCCCGCACCATCATTGATCCTACTCGCCTCACCTGACTAGGACCGGGTCGGTGAGACCGGCGCGGGCGAACTCGACCAGCAGGCCGGGCAGGGTGGCAGAGAACAGCAGCGTCTGTCGGGTGTCGGGCAGGCGGGCCAGGATCTCGCGCAGCTGCTCGGCGAACCCCATCTCGAACAGCCGGTCGGCCTCGTCGAACACGACGTACTCGATCGAGTCCAGGCGCAGCTCCATCTCCACGCAGACGTGCACGAACCTGGAGGCGGATAGGGGCGAACGGTTAGATGCCGGGGCGCAGATGACAAGAAGGCAGATGAGGGTTGCAAAACCGAAGAAGTATTGCATACATCAGCGGCAACAGTCGAAGCAGCCGTGTGTTTGTGCCTTGACTATATTGCCGGTAAATGCGCCTTTCTCAATTTGATTGACCAAACATGCTGAAGAGCCATGCTCGAAGCAGGATCTCTTGTATCGTTACTTGCGAGCACGCGTCCATTATCCCGTATTACAGCTGCAGTTATTGGCGAGACGTTTCGCAAGTGCATTTGGCCAGCGATCATTCCAGCACCCTCACATTTCCCTCCCCACCATCTGACCTGCCGGGCGTGGCGATGATGATGTCCGGCTTCTCGTGCAGTGCCGAGAACTGTCCCTCCATCGAGTCACCTCCGAGCACAGCGGCCGCGCGCAGGTTCGAAAACCGGCCCAGCTCCTTGGTAAAGCGCAGCGTCTATAACGCGGGAAATACGTAAGCTACAAATTGAATTTGAAAAATACTATCGCAAATCAGTTAACCACGGCAATTGATAAAGTTATACCTATTGGTGAATATGAAACATGAAAAACGACGCTATGTTGGTGTTTCATGGTGAAAAAATAATAATTAAAAAGACTACAATCATTCATCTCATTCATCGTTTAGAACTTCATTTCCCGCAGTTTTGACGCTGTCAAATTGATACGTGATCGAGATCAGCCGTAGACGATGTTGCGTCAACTAATTTCACTCCTCGAATCCATGATACCCATTCCCAAAAAACACCAGTCACCACCGTCCGTCCCCGTATCTGACCTGCAGCGCCAGCTCCCGGGTGGGCGACAGGATGAGCGCGCGAGCGCCAGCCTGCGCCGAGGCCACCTGCAGCCGCTCCAGCATTGGCAGCAGGAAGCAGGCCGTCTTGCCGCTGCCAGTGCGGGCCATGGCCACCACATCCTTGCCCTCGAGGATCACAGGGATGCACTGGCGACAAAAACCCGAACACATGTTAGTGGCAGGTTCAATTTTTCCGAAGAAAGAGAACTTGTTCACGGTAAGTAGCTTTCAAAATACCAGATGAACATTCATCACGTCGCTTAAAGAGACGTCTTTGGCCGTCTTTCTCATTTGGCACACGACAAGACACGAGGGATGACGTGGACAAGAACTAAGAAGTGAGAGCTGTAGAATGCAAGCACGTGACTGCTTTGCATAAAAGATGATGGGAGGCTTACAATGCGTGCACTTTCTCTTGTCCAGCTCAAAAGCCATCAAAATGACTCACGTTGAGGAGTCTTACAAACTCGATAAGAACACGACTGAGCTGGTGAGCATTAGCCATATGATTACATTCAAACATGGCAGAATAGGATGGAAAAGCACACAACGCTCAAAAAGACACTGCTTGGAAGGGGGAAACATGTTATCTGAAACATGAACCCTAAAACCGACAGGCTGTATACATCACATACCTTTCTCTGAATGGGCGTTGGCACTTTGTATCCGCGCTTGGTAATGCCCTTGAAGACGCTGTTACTGAAGCCCATGGACTGGAATCCACCGGACTTCTTTTTATTTCTATTCTGCTCGGCCACCAGCCGACGAGTGTCCGGCTCTTCGGCATCCGACACGAAACCGTCCGGCTGCTCATCGTCAAAGCCAAATGACTTGTCATCCTTCTTTTTCCCTTTAGGCTTCATCTCGTCACTCTAAATCTGCAACATTCGGTGAAAGTTGTTAGGTACCTTAATGAAAAAGTGGGTGTTGTAATTTCTATACCTTACATACTGAGATGCGTGTCGGGGCAACTTTCGATATTTTTTGTCGGGCATATTTTCGTCCAGTTTTTTGGTCCGACTCTTTCTCTCCCATTATTTTTTTGTACTTATAAATTTTAAATCATTTTTTACGTCCTTTACGTTCATGTATTATTCCGTTCATGCATTGTTCATCTGGCTTTTTTCATCTCCACATTATTCATAGGGATGTTTTTGTATGTGCATTTTTTGACTTGTTACATTTATTCGTCTCCGCATTTATAATTCCTCTATGCTTCTTACGTCTCCTCGACACGGACAGCTTTTTCGGCAATAAGGTCACCTAATGTATCTAAACTAATATGTCATAGCCCAGCCTTCTGCGATAGGTAGGTGTTATTAAGCAGACATAGTCAGGTGAGGTTCCGCAAGGCTAAGCTAAGTACGACCGGCACCATCTGGGGCTACTTTGATACCTGAGTTCACTTTGATAGCAGCTCTCCTCTCAGTGAGTATAATAATGTCCTTGCTTGAAGACTATCTGATGGCAAGACCACAGGCAAGGCCAAGAAAAGGGGACCAAAAGTGTCACCTGGTGCTGCAGTAAAGGTCACAGACCTGATTGTATTCTCAAACTCAGGAGTAACCAGAGAAGCCACAATTAGACCCAAGAAGTGATTATTTTGTGGCAGTGAGTTCAGTAAAGACTCAGAAGATGATCTGTACACATGATCACACAGATGATCAAGGTGAACTGGGAGGAATGTGAGCGCTGCAACAGATGGTACCATCGCCTCTGTGTGGCCTGTGGGTAGAAAGCCTACGTGGAAGAAGTTTGTGATTGCCAGAGGGGCACAAGAGAGTTCATGAGAAGGGTACATAAAGGATACACAGCATGAGATGCCTCCTTCAGTGCCTTGAGTTCAATTTGTATTGTAAAGGCTAGATAAGTAACTGTTGTTTTGCACTATTCCAGTAATAATGCAGCTAACTCACCTGGTGCTGCAGGGCTTTCAGAAATATGTCATTTTTGTTATTTTATAAAAAAGCTCAAAAGTTATCAAAGATCCCCAAAAAATGATGATTCATTGGCCATGTTTCCATAGGCACTTGAGATCTGGATAGCCAACCAAAGTTCAACCATATAATTTTCCCCAGCTCCTTGTTTCAAGCTATAAGTTCAGACTTCAGACCCATCAGCTTTATATGATACCTAATCCCTTATTTTCATTTACATCTAGCAGCCAACTTCACTGGATTGGCTAATCCACTTAAAAATCTAAAAAAGAAAGTGCCAGCCAAAACAAACCATTGATAAAAAGGGCAGCTTAAGCCATTACAAAAGTTGCCTTGGATCTCAGGTCTTAAATCCCAGTTGCCAGCTATCAATTGGCAAAACTGATAGCTTTTTGGCCAAAATATGAATAATCATGGCAATTTCAAGGCCAAATTTCACATCCATTGAATAGGCACGAGCCCATTAGGAATACCTGTGAAGAGTGTTTAGCTTTCATTCTTAAGCCTCATCCTTTCTTGGCTAGGTGCAGAAACATCTCAAAAAGTTGTTGAGATGTTTTAACAATGTTTTAGAGACAAAAAAAAAACATCAAATTAGCCCTAGATGTCAGCAAAACTAGGTTGGGTCAGGAGGTCAGATACAGTTAAGTTTGGTGATTCCACCTCAATGGATTACCTATATTTGCTGCACTAGAATCAGCATCACTTTATGTTCAGAACAATAAAAATAGCCAAGAATATAACTTATCTTTAAAAGCCAATTCGACCTCAGCTTCAGTTTTACCAATTCAATGGTTATATTAATGAATGCAAGAAGCAACACAAAGAAAAAAGACAAATATATCCCCACAGGCATGACTTTCCAAAATTTATTGGTAAGGCTCTAGCTGTTAACTTTAGAATACCAAATCTATTCTAACCATTGCAGCTCCATAGGGCTTCATGCAAAAAATATGAAATTACTTTTAAGTTGTAGGACTCAGGCCCTACCAAGCCTTTGCAAAACCACACATGCATATTCCACAAATCAAAAATTAATCAAAGAATAAGAATGCAAAGAAATCAAAATGTTTGGTTAATACTAAGCGGACAAAATAATATCAGATTGAAATAATGCTGTACCAAGAAAATGGAATAACTGGAAAACAAAATATTAATGTAAAATATTCCAAGAAAAAATAATGAAGGAGCAAAAAAAAAATCAGACGTGCAGAAGAAAAATACGAAAAAAATACAAAAAAAAACATGAGGCCATAAAAATGCCGGACAAAAATATCCCAACCAAAAATAAGTCATAGTGATGGTACCTCCTACCTACCTACCACACAGAGATTTAGATGAGATGGAGATTGAGATGGCCTATCTGTGAATTGCCTAATAAAATCAGACTAGCCTAAGCGAGTTCATCAATTAAAAGATTGCAAAAACGCAACTGATTGAGTAATACCCACCAAAGCCAGCCAAAAGCAAATGCCAACTTATTTGTATATGAAATTTTAGATAAAATTCACGGCATATATAGAACTTGCTTGATAAAAATTTTACAATCAACATCGGGTGAGGGTCACCCGCCACACCGAAATCAACGCGAACTACCAACACGATCAACAGTCAACACGTGCTACACAGAACTGCATTCAAAATCGACAGTCTGAGGGCGAAGGAAACTTGTTGCCTAGCAACTAGCTGAAATATACGCACTTTACGCCAATCAGGCAGCAGATCGTCGAAACATCTACACTTTTTTGTTGAAATCATGTAATGATTGAACACATTTGGCTCGTGCTTTTTGAAACTTTTGCGCATTTTTGATGCTAGCTCAGAAGCATTTTATATTATTATCTCTTGGCTTTTGGTTCTAAAAAATATTTTCAGGGAATTTTCTCCTTTTTCTTATTTTTTCATCTTGATTTATGTCAGAAATTGAAATATTGTGAAACAGGAGTGAAACATATTCCAAAAAAATTAATAGATATAGCTCTTGATTGAGTTTTCTACAAGGTCGCAAAGGTTACGCACTTGTGCGCCACTTTTATTTTTTGTTGACGTTCTCCTCGCCGGTCTTCCCTTTTACGTGAAGCCCGGGTGTTGTTGGGCGTTGTGAGAAATTTGACGTGCAGAAAGGTGAGCATTTTGCATTATTCAAGTAAAGGTAACTAGTCAGATATCGACCCTGCAATTGGTTAAACACTAAGCTTATTGGCGTCATTCGCTGCAACCGGGAACCGGATGGAACGTCTTCGTTACTGTGCTGAAATCTACCACATTTCTTTTCCACATTTCTTACCACTTTCTTTTCTTTCTTATTGCATTTCTTCTGAAACGTTCATAAGCACATTCCATATTAAATCTGAAACTCACTTACCTAGTTACGAATAACAGATTTTGGATAGGACAGAGCCAGAGGCCTTTGGTCTTCTGAACCCTTTCTAGTCTTGTTCCTTGTGCGTCTGACTATTTGTCCGCAACTTGAACTGCGTGAGGGATGTCATGTGCGAGGTGTGCCCAGTGGGCATCTCTGGTCAGTTCCTGTATAAACTGTCTTCTGCAGCCCTACTTACATTTTTCATTTCTTTTTTAGTTCGGTCTAAACCTTTTGAATGGAAGGATTCTCAAGGACATTGCCCCGCTAAGCAGAGCTTGTTGCATTGGCCCTGTGGCTTGTCCTCTACCTTCCAATGGGGCAATTCCTTGTCTATGGCAGAATTTGCTGCATTGGCCCTGCTCGCAAAATTTAGAGTCCTAAGTTAAATGTAGGTACTCACAAAGCCATGCACAGCTGGTCCCCTCACTAATTTGATTGGCTACAGTCTGCCATGAAGTGCAACCATACCTATCAGGAGTCTCATAAAAATGAGCACCTGTCACGCTTGGAACTTAGACTTTAAATTCATAGTAGTTTTCAGACCGGTTTCGGTGTATTACCACCAACAGTGTCCTGATTTTCGTGAATTTGGGTGGAAACCCACACCCGAACAGATTCTCTTTGTGATGTCCCGGAAAGCCAAACGACGTCCCTGACAGATAAAAGTCAACAGGTATATCGAACACCAAAAGCAAACTAACAAAAAGAAATATCACCTCTGTGGCCTAAAAACACGGCTATGCAAAATGACAATAAATATATCTCAAGGCCTCACAAACCCACTCTTATACTCAACTCCCCTTTCCTACACCGCTGGCCAACTGCCGCAACAGTAAACAACGCGGTTTTATTCATATACCCTGGTTTTATTTTCGTTTTCTGTGCGTCAGATATGTATAGGTTTTTTCCTTTATCATGTGAAGGTAATAGCTGCCATATGAAGGAGAAAATATGTCGGAATAGAGGGATCTGAGGACGTCGTTTTCCACTTTTCAGTTTTAGTAACTGTCCAGTGTAAAGAAAAAAAATTAATCATGCGAATATATTACTTCGACATTTATCTATAAGCCCACAACATACCTATTGTATCAAATCACTGCAACATATTTAATTATTTTTTCCCCTCAGAAGGTCACAGTAACGGGGAAGCGCTGCCCCTTGAACCTACCCTTCAAAAGTAGTTAATTTTGCATATGTTGATAGTGGTTAGGGAAAAACTTTGTGTTTATTCATTTGAATTAAAATAAAGTTACCGAATTTCAACAGTTTTAATTAAAGTATGTCGTCCTTGGCTTAAAAATACACGCAATGTTGAGGACGTAGATTGACCTTGTCATTCCCATTAAATCGACGTCGGTACAAAACTGAAAAGTGCACAATGATTTCACATTTATTCCAGCCAAGAAAAATTCAGCGTCTACCTTGGAGTTTTCTTAATTGAATTTCATAACAGGAAGCTATGGAAATTAATTATCCTAACTGTTTTCCATCTCTTTGTTTGGACGTCTGTTTTTTACGTCACTCCTCTTTCTCGATATAATATCGCTCTTGTGACGTCACTATTTAGTGATAGCCGCTGGCTCTTGGGCTTATTTTTGCTGAAGCATATTTGTTATTGACTGTTGTGTACGATCATGGACAAGAACTAAACATCTTCAAAGTGTTGTTATGGTGTTTGTCTTACCTGGTTGACTTACCTGGTTGGGTTCCTTTTGCGTCCGGGGAGGAAAATGGTGGAGAAAGTGAGAGAGGAAGGTACAAGGAACCCTGCATTTAAGAGACGCGCCAGTCAGTAGGAAGTTTGTGCTGTAGATTATACATGTACAAACTGACTGGAGAAGTGAGTCTCCTTCACAGATTTACAGGAAGTAATTACTTAATGGCTAATGCACAAAAGTTCAGCATGGAGAAATGTTTGGAACTGTCCTAGTTCTTAGTGTAGGTAGAGCTTTCACATTGGGTAAGAGTACAACGCATCATTGATATCGCGATCTAACATAGATTTAAACGTGTTGACATCGTGAGCACACACAGTTTGAGCGGGGAGGGCATTCCATACAGAAATACATCTTTGAGAGAACGAGCGCTTCCTAATGTCAGTGTTTATGGCAGAGGGAAATATTTTGTGGCAATGGCCTCGTGTACGATTCTGAGGCGGCTGTGGAAATAAATCAGCCGGAGATATACAAGATTTTCCGTTAAAGATTTTCCAGTACTGTAGAAGATCTGCACGCAGTAGCCTTCCTTGGACGGAATAGAGACGTAGGGATCGTAGACGTTCACCATAGCTCATGGTCTCCAAGCCACAAATACGCTTAGTCCATCGGCGCTGCACTCTTTCTAATAGCCTCAAATCCTGAATAAAACCAGAGTTCCAGACAGGAGAGGCATATTCAAGCACTGGTCGTATGTGAGTGGTGAGCAGGAACACCATGAACTTTGGAGATCGACACACAGTGGATTTAAGGAAGCTATAGGCCAAAGCGCCAGCTTTATGAGTAGCCATACGGATATGGTCGTGGAATTTCAAACCAGAATCAACCAGTACACCAAGGTCGGAGGCAGAGTGGACATGAGGAATAGGTTTGCCATCTAGGGTATATGTTGGGCGGACTACATTAGTAAAGGACCTCGAGAAACGGAGGATTGAGCACTTCTTTACATTCATAAACAAGCCCCAAGAAGCAGCAGTAGAGTGAAGTCTCCTTCACAGTAGAAGATAGACGTAGGTCTGCACGCAGTAGCATTCATCTGCTCCAAGTACGCACCATCGATTCCCAAGGAGAACTTTTCGGCAGCTGCTTGTGGTGAATGATTGAAATTTATATTGTACTAGGGGTAAACTGGCATTACTTTGTGTCTATATATGATCAGTTGAGGTGCCTTGAGGTGCTATTAGTCAAAATTGCTAGTGAAAATAGCTAATTTTAAGAGATTTAAGGGATCTTCAGTGGCTGAGGCTCCGCACCGATATCGACGTCCTTTTGAAATACTGACGTCCTTGCGGCTTCAATCACACTCTCCGAAAAATCAATTTCAGGACACTGACCACCAATCACCATCATCAGTGAATGACTATAAATAAATACATAAAAATACAGCAAAGTTATTCAGTCGTTCAGATCGTAATATTACCAACTGAATAACTGTGATGTATTTGTATGTTTTTTTTTTCATTCACTGATAATGGTGTTAATACACCGAAACCAGTCTGAAAACTACTATGAATTCAATTCAGTGCCTGATCCTTGACATTATAACCAGGGACGCTGGTCCTCTACAGACTGACCTGTGGGACCGGGGGGCTCTACAAGGGCTGCCAACGAGCCACTCACCGCTGTTGTCGCTCTGTTGTCGCTCACCCTGTCTGACACTCTGTTGTCCGTCTCCCGCAGCCCCAGTGATACCACAATGGCCGCCAAGGAGCCTCTGCGTGTGTGCGTCACCGGCGCCGCCGGCCAGATCGGGTACTCGCTGCTTTTCCAGCTGGCCGAGGGCAACGTGTTCGGGCGCGACCAGCCGCTGATCCTGCAGCTGCTCGACATCACGCCGTGCCTGCCGGCGCTGAACGGCGTGGTCATGGAGCTGCAGGACTGCGCGCTGCCGCTCATCCGCGACGTCATCGGCACCGCCGATCCGCTGGTCGCCTTCAAGGACATCGACGCCGCCTTCCTGGTGGGCGCCATGCCGCGCCGCGAGGGCATGGAGCGCAAGGACCTGCTGGCCGCCAACGTGAAGATCTTCAAGGAGCAGGGCGACGCGCTGGACAAGGTGGCCAAGAAGACGGTCAAGGTGCTGGTGGTGGGCAACCCGGCCAACACGAACGCGCTCATCTGCTCCAAGTATGCGCCGTCAATCCCCAAGGAGAACTTTTCGGCCATGACGCGGCTGGACCAGAACCGCGCGCAGGCGCAGGTGGCTGCCAAGCTGGGCGTGCCGAACGGCTCCGTCCGCGGCTGCATCATCTGGGGCAACCACTCGTCGACGCAGTTCCCGGACGTGTCGCACGCCGAGGCTGAGGTGGACGGCCGCTGGGTGCCCGTGCCGGAGGCCGTCAACGACCAGCAGTTCCTGCGCGGGGAGTTCATCACCACCGTGCAGAAGCGTGGCGCCGCCATTATTGCCGCCCGCAAACTCTCGTCGGCCATGTCGGCGGCCAAGGCGGCCTGCGACCACATGCACGACTGGTTCGCCGGCACGCCGGCCGGCCGCTTCGTCAGCATGGCCGTCTTCTCGGACGGCTCGTACAAGACGCCCGAGAGCATCATGTACTCGTTCCCCGTCACCATCGAGAACGGACAGTGGAAGATCGTCCAGGGCCTCGCCATCGACGACTTTGCCCGGGAGAAGATGGACGCCACGGGTAAGGAGCTGTGTGAGGAGCGCGAGGAGGCGATCGCCGCGTGCGCCTGAAGGTCCGGCCGGGTCCTCAGCGGTCTGTAGCCTCTGCCGGGGGCCCGGCTGCGGCGGCCCGCGCCGGCGCCGGCAGAGTGTGTGCTGTAGCGCGTCTCCCGTGTCGGTGAGAGTAGAGCGTGTGCGGCGCGCTGGCTGGCGGCGGCGAACGAGGCTGGCAGTACGCGTCTGGCAGTGCCCGTCACCCCTACCATCGAATCACACCCGCACTGCCAGTCAGGGATGATTTGGAATTATGTTGATGCACACAGAGGTCTTTTTAGAAAAGTGATATTGTGATGTTGATTGCTTTGGAAATTTCTTTTACCACTTGTTAGCCCCCGATGGACCAGAAATACACGGAGGGAAATAGTCGTCAACATGTTTCAAGGATTATGGTGCATTTTGCATCATTTACAACCGTGCACAGTTGTGCACACCAAATGCATCGTAAAGCGGTATCTATCGCCGCAATCACCGTACGATACACACTTCCATTATGCTGAACTGGATCTTTCCAACCCTGCCACACCTATTGACGTCGCCGTTTGGCCCACGGACTGTCAGCGGGTGGGTGGGGCTCGGGCCGGGTGGCGAGTTTCCTAAGTGTAGAACTATATTTACTCACCCGTCGATTCTCGGGCTCTGATTGGTGACTTTGGTCGGGGGCTGACGCTTATAGCATGACGTCACTCACGTACTCGGCTGGACCAACGGCGCTGCGCAGACGCGCCGAGCCAATTCAGAGGCTCTCAAACTTAATTGTACAGATCCTGTGCATTGAATCGCGAAACTTCGGCGAGTTCGCCTGAGTTTGGAAGCCTCTGCCGGAGAACTGGAAAAGGCCGGATTATTCGCTGGACAGTGGAAAGCGCAGATGGCGATTGACGGTGCCAAAAAGATGATAGGGAGAAAGGAGTTCAGCAGTGAATTATATGCCTGTGCTTGTGCATAGCTGAGTGATTAATTGTAAAATGATTAGGTAGGCTTGGAAGAAATGCAGCGTAGTTTAGCCGAACCAGGGGTATTCTGCCGAGTGGCGAGTTAGGTATGTAAGGCGGAAGGGTCGCAAGTCATTTGTTTCCCTGAATGCACGAATGAAAATGTAAAGCGTAATGTTAAGTTGTTAATTCAGTGTGGTTGGTCATCTGCTCAATCTATTTCTTCTCTGCATAATGCATTCGCCACTAATTCATTTTAAGAGGCACTGGGCTGCGCCGCCTGTTGATTATTCCGAAACACCAGTGAATTCATTTGCTGTCGTCACCGGTCACAACAATACGAATCGTGCAGTCATGCGCTGGGGGTCCGCCAAGTTTGAGTGTGCTGCAGAGTGCAGACTGGGCCGCCGAGAATATAACATTCCCGTCTCCCTGGGCGAGCGGCGCTGCTTCAGTTTTGTTGTGGGGAGGATACCCATGTTTGAAAATTATGTTCGGGAATGATGCGATGTGGAAAAGGTTTGTTGAATAGAGGGCTGTCAAGCAGATGCAGCTTTTCTCATTTGCTTACCGATACAACGCGAAAAAGACGAAAATGTTGCAATTTTTAAGGGCTTTAGTCTAATTAAAGATTAGGGACTTCGTGAATAATGCGTATTGACCGCGACCCAGTTATTTGCCATTGGGTAGGTAGGTACTAGTTAGGTAGGGACCTACTCATTTGTGAACAGAACGTTCCACCACCACTCGCCAGAAATTCAATGAGCATTTGCTTCAGGGTATATTGAGTGAAGGGTAGGACGAACTTTGGTAGGAATTTCTAGTATAACTACTAGAAAACCTACTATATGTGGTCGGAACTAGCAAAAAGTTAGTTCAATCTAGAATATGGTAGCGCTTATGGTTGGCAGTCGTGACGCGCACGTGACAATCATTTCTTAAATTTCTTAAATAACAGGTTTTAAGGGTTGATTAGTGGGCCGATACATTCAATTAGCTATTAATAATTGATTATGCAAACATTCAAGAATCTACATCATTTAATTCTAGCCAAAATCACGCGGCGCTCCCAGGATTTGAACTCACGACCCTCGGATCTGTAGCCCGATACGCTACCGACTGCGCTACCGAGGACCGCGAACCGACGCTCGGAGAGGCGGATCGCGGGTGCTGGCGTGCAGAGAAATCTTTACCCTGTACGCCGTAGAAGATCGGCTGGGTTTCGTGAAAAATGGTAGATGAATTGTCGAAAGAAAATTCATCGATCTATCATTTGAGACTAAGAACTATTGATTCCTTCAAAGGTTGACCGAGATATCGCTCGCCGAAAACAGGCCATTTAACATGTAAACCCTATGGGCTGGTAGGAAATGTACGCCGTGGAGCAGCGGTGCTACCAACTAACTTCGGCGGGGGCCGATTTGCTTATCCTTAAACGTTTGAGTGCACCTAACAACCTTTACAAATGACGTCCTCCCTTTTAATTGTTTGCGCGAAGACACAAAGCCATAATCAACCAAGCAATGGCAGAATCCATTGAGCAGTGTGTCAGATATGCCCCCCCCCCCCAATTCTCAATCCACATAGCATAGCATACACTAAATGTAGGTACACGCACCTACATATTAGGTATTTGAAGGACTTGATAGCTGATACACACGAAAGAAACGCAATGCGCTAAAATTAAACGCAATTAACTAGCTGCAGCAGAAGTATGGCGTCCGATGCCTCTTCGCCAAGTTAAGACCATGCCAATCTCGGCAAGTTTGCCGCCGCGCCGGCACTGGCCGTGGTGTGACGTCATTCGCTCGGCACGTCGTCTATAGTTCCACACTTAGGTAACTCGCGGCCGGGTGTTGCCACCCGACCGCCTGTTTATTTTTGTCTGGCCTCGCGCCCTCTCAGGGTCAGAAGCCGCCAGTGACCTCCGGTCCTGTCACAATCCAGTCCCGCCGCTCACGCGGTCGCGGGCTGATGGGAACTTCTGCCTTCGTATCGTAGAGTCGTCAGTGGCCACATGGGCCCGGTCATTAGGTCGTAATAGTGGACAGCTGGCAGGGATCGCTCATTTCACGACACCTGACTGGGGCTGAGATCGCAGGCGCCAGGAGCCCAGACCAGACGCGGAAACGTGATACACGTCGGCGCCCCAGTCGGCGGGTCTGCTAGGGACAGCTGCCCGTGTTACCACCCACTTGCTACGTTCACCACGCATCTGCGAGCCGCTGGGGTCACATTTCGAGAGCAGTTATCGTTCACGAAAAACAAATATTTCAGTCAATATATTTACAACGCACCATACCATCCGTTCAAAATGGTCCAGCATAATATAATTCATCACTTTGTGCTTGTGCTCGCCAGTCACGGCCATCTTACACATCCTACAATCGGTTTTTGAGCCGGCGAGAATCACAAGATCTCGCTAAAATGAGACAAAATGAAGGTGTAGTATGCGTAAACACAACATCGGTACGCATCCTATGAAATGCCCTCAACGAATTATTGCATTCAGCTTGTGTAAATATACCAGTAAAACCTAGTTGCAGTCCAAGTAGCGGAGTGGAGCCGAGTTTAGAGTAATGAACGTTCAACAAAGTGAAACATCAAATTATACACAGACTATCATTCCATAGCCTCAGAGATACTCACTATCACACGCTGCTCCAAAAACATCTTTTGTGAAATCCATTATACTTCACTTTGCAAGAAGCATGCAAAATGTTATCTTACTTGTTACTGGAAGACAGCCCAGTGTTAAAAATACGTGTTCATTGCTAAATATTCATTGCTATTCTAAATATTCATTAAGCAGACAGATCCTTCATTTCCTGTTATTATCATCAACTTCAAAAATACAATGTCTACATGATCCCCAATAGAGATCTATAAAAGGGCGATATTTAATGTCAACAGCCTTGGTCCTAACCGGCCTCACAATCTCAACTGACCTTTCTGGCCACTCACCAGTTACATAAACTACGGTTGCCGACGCACATAGCAGTCGACTGAGGAAAGCCAATGACTTCCGAGTTCTAACTCGGACTCACGTCTAGTCGCTTATTTGAGGGACTTGAGTAACGTTTCTCTGACGTGAAGACGATCCGCTGACTGTTGCGGAAGGGCCTTGAGCTCGTTATCACAATCAGTTCGTCTAAGGACCACATAAACTGGTCTACGAGGACCGTATTAGTTGGTCTAGGTGGACGACATCGGTTTGTCTACGTGCACCACATCATTGGTCTAGCGAGACCGCATCATCAGTTGGTCTTGGAGGACAACAGGTGGTCTTAGGCACCAAATCACTCGGAATATCACTGCCGCGAGCCGGGCTGTTACACCTCCATCCCTTGCCGCCAGCGCTGACCTCACACACCTCTTCAATCCGTCACAAGGTCATATCTACTCTGACTAGTTCGGGCAATTCACCTCACAGTGAGTACCTCTCCAGTCACACTGCCGTGGCTCTCACAGAACAGCGGGCCAGTTCACCTCACAGTGAGTACCTCACCAGCCACTCTGCCGTGGCTTTCACAGGGCAGCGGGGACGGCGGCCAGACCGGGCGGCGGCGGCGGCGGCGGTGCCTCCTCGGTGGCGGGCGCGGTGTCCGTGCCGGCCAGCTGCTCGCGGTCGCCGGCGGCCGGCGGCTGGACGCGCTCCACGGCGCCGCTCCTCAGCCGGCGGTGGACGTAGTACAGCAAACCGGCGGGCAGCAGCAGCGTGGCGGCCCCCAGCAGGAACACCAGGCCGTGCAGCCAGCCGCGCGTGGCCGGGTACACGCTGTTGTAGAGAGCCGAGCCGAGCACCGAGCACAGGCTCTCGGCCACCATCAGCAGTGAGAACACCCGGCCTGCGGGAGCACCCGCCCCGTCAGTTGGAGCACTGCAGCGGCAGCTGGATGGGTGGCTGTAGCAATTGTGCCACGTGTGCACATGTAGCCAGACTTTAGTATCACGGGGCAATTAACAACGGGTCAGGCGGGATGCTTGGATAAATTCACCCACAACCAGCATACAGACACGGACAGACACATCACGATAACAGCGGCTTATCGGTCTTACCCTGCTCATCGGCCTCCACAAGTTTGGAGAGCAGAGACCGGATCGGCGGGATGCAGAAAGTGCTGACCATCGACACAACCGGCACTGAAATCACAACAACGACGGTTGATGAATTGAGGCATTAGAAATACGGATAACTGTATGACTGAATAAATGATGTCGATTTTCAGTCAACGGTGAACACAATTCCCAAAAGAAGCTTCTGGATTGCAAGATAGATCATGAAAAAATGAACAGCAAAACGCTTGTTTCTTCCAGGATGAGACGATATCCGTCATTGACTAAGCAATGTTTAATTTAAAAAAAGTATCGATCAGCAATCAGCATGTGCTGCTCTCTCGGAACAACCTGCCCTCGGACGTAAGCGGGCACCACTGACCGCAGAACAACACGCCGACGTTGACGGTGAAGCCGAGCCAGATGAGGCCCAGGATCTTGGAGATGATGCCCAGGGCAGAGAGCGTGGTGTCTCGCAGGTCAAAGAAGCGACGACACAGAGGCATACCCACTGAAAACGCAGTCGAGAAACACCGGTAAGTTGTAAACTGCTATTTGAAACAGAGGTGCTGCAACAAGCTAACTTGCTATGAACGGTATTTAGGTATTAACAATTCGACCAAAACTTTCAAATTATTAGGTGCAACGTTTTAGAAGAAAGCACCGGCAATGCTAGCATCAGCGAACAAGTACGGTTGGATAACAGCTACCTGCTTGACCTCGTGACAACATGCATGCAAAATGCATGCATTCATTTGCACATGTCTAGATAAGGCAGCGTCTAGCGTCGACTCCTTTGCATTTCGCAATGACCATTATTTCGGTCTAGCCCTTACCGATAAGAGCCACGGAGCCGGCCGCGTGGTTAAAGGCAAAGTACCCCGAGTACGTAGCGTCCCGTACGCTCAGAGGCTTATCGCTGAGGTACAGATACGTGACATCGTTCACTCCTGGCGGTAGACACGACAGAGGACAAATAATACGCAGTGCTAGAGAAAACGCATGCAGACGCACAGAAGGGCGGGGTGACATGAAACGTCAAGTGTTACGAAAAGCGAACAGTACGCAGTTAAGGTGCAGACTTTTAAAATGCACAAAGGGAAGCCGAGGAGCGGAGCACACGAAAACAAAAAACTCCCAAAGCCAAAACAACATCCCGGGTCAAATCGCACACACCGCAGACCCGTCTCCTGTGCGACAGAGTGGGACCACGTCCTAAGGACAGCATCAGGCAGCCAGTGGCCAGCGTAAGGGCGGATAGTGGCGAGCCGGCGCTACAGAGACGCGGTAACCGCAGGTCGTCCGTTACCGCCACCTGTGACCACGCCGGAGGCCGGCCCTAGCCCGCCAGGCGGCACCACAGACAGAAGCGGAATACCCCTCACCGGGTCAGTACCCTGCACACCACGAGCACCACTCCACTCAAGTAGCAGGATAGGACGGCACTACTGACACAGCCGGCAGGACGACACCCACACAGTGGGCCTGGTCGACACTCCACTAAGGCGGCACTCCCGCCAGGACACCCACCAACGGGATGGCACTCACACAGCAGGACCGGTCAGCACTCACAAATCAGCACCCCGGCTGAGAGCGCGTGCTTGACGCTAAAGTACGTGTCATACAGCGCGTCGTCCAGGAAGATGGGCGCATCCTTGACGTACAAGTACGTGACGTCATTCTCCCCTGAGGAGAGCGGCGTCGTGCTGGTCAGCGGGGAGACTGCCGTCCGCAGACTGACACCTGCGTATGACAGCTAGCAGAAACGCTGCGTTTTAGGGACACTGCCGAACTGTGTCATCGCAGAACTAGGGCTACTTGCGGCGCTTGAACGAGGGAGAAACTAGGCAATGCCTGTGATAGACAGCCTGCTAAGTCTTATATCAGCATTATCAACATCATAGTTAGGTTGAATATGCCGGCTGATGTAGAGTGAATCGACCATTCGTATACGAGGATCTCAGGCCAAGAACATAACCAGAAGCTCTGCTCACATTGAAAGCTACGACGGCAGCGGCGGCGGAGACAACACCAGGCCGCGACTCACCGAACGTGTTGATCATGATGATGAAGGCAACGACGAGTAGCATCAGGATGTAGCGGCGTCCCGAGTCGGCGCGGGGTTTGAACGCCACCCGCACGGCGTCCCACAGGTACCGCAGGCTGAACACCTGGTGAGGGAGGCCGGGGCAGTGAAGCTCTATATGCACAGGCGGCCGGGGCTCGGGGCAGGTCCGATCATGTTTACTCGCTGAGATGTCAATATGGGTCCTCCTACTCTGTGAATTTGGTATTCTCAAGTGCCATAGGAGTTAATCACCAGGGGTTCGCACCAACCCCCCTTCCCCTGGCCGTCCGCGTTATGAAAAAGCCCCTGGCCGGGCGAGGGTTAAGTCCCTCCTCCCTCACACTTCGCAATCACACTTCGTGGGAGAGGGCCATCGTATCGAGCACTGTCAGACAGGGTGAATAATGTTACCGAACGTCCGTCAAACGTGTGAGGGCCGAGCACACGCGTCCAGCCCGAATGTTTGAAAAGTATGAGTTAATGAGGTCAGATACTATACTTCCTACGACGTTTAACATCTTGATACGATGCGCATTTGGAAATGCTACCAAAGCGACGTAACTACAAACAAGAAAAAAATGGTAGTACCGATCGCATGACTTTGTGTAAGGACCGATACGTAAGCATCCTACGACGACATCCAGCTTTGTATGTGCTTGGATAATGTCTTACATCTAAATACAAACGGCTGGTGACATCAAGGTGACATAACCTAGCCTCCTACATCCCATTCGCAACCTGACCCGCCCCACTCACCCTGGCCAGTTTCTGGCAGGCGGAGCCACCGGCGGGCGGCTGGCGCGGCGGCGGCACCTCCGGCACGCGGATCACCACGTACAACACGATGGCCGAGTTGACGATGACCAGCGCAGTGAAGTTCCACGTGCGGCCGGCGCCCTCGAATATGGCCGAGCCGACGAACGGCCCTATGAAGCCGCCCAGGAACGACATGGACTCGAGCACGGAGACGCGCGTGGTGCGCTGCCGGGTCACCGTGACCGCCGACAGGTAGGACATGCAGCACATGATCATGCTGCTGAACCCGCCCAGCAGACCTGCCGTACAGCAGGGGGAGAACGGGCGTGAGTTTATTGATATGAGCTGAAGGAGGTGTTTGATGGGGATGGAAGAAAAATATCCTCCGCCTTCGCACGCACAATATCAGCACATGAATCGAAAACACTGCATCCTCCAAATTCAAATATTTATCAAACATCAGCGCGTCACCGACTATGCTATTAACTTAGAGACCTTCCGTCCTCCCCCACCCCCGTCCCAAGACCCCTTACCTGCCAGCAGGTTGGCCAGCACGTTGAAGCCGACCGGCACAGAGTCATACGCCGACATGGCCATGTAGACGAGTGCAGCCAGCACCTGACCGAGCGGCGGCAGCAGCAGCGGCGCCTTGCGACCGAACACGTCGCTCCAGGTGCCGAGGTAGATGCCGCTGATGACTGACGGCACGGCCAGCGCCACGTTCGAGTACAGCATCCAGTAGGAGGCGCCGTCCTGCACGGCGTCCCGCTCTGCGCTGTACTCGTCCAGCTGCAGGTTGTTGCACACGGTCGGACTGAACAGGCCCTGGCACGTCTGAAGGGCAGCAGGAAAATAAAAGGTGTGATCAGACGAGAGTAAAGTCGTATAGAAATGCAGGCAATCGCCTGTATAGCTATATGACAAGGTAGCTTTACATTCAAGTCCACGGTTAAGCGTGAACAGTGAAATTCAAGAAACAGTTTGGCTTTGAGTAATGCATTTGAACTGCATTATTGGGAGTTATATAAGTTATAACTCACGCAACCGATAAGAATACTAATGCGCGATTGAAGCATAACCAACAACTCACGGTCGCTGGGCATCCTCTCACCTTGGCGTAGACGAGCGACTGCATGGCCGTGTACTGCATGTACGAGCCGACCATGAAGAGAAGCAGCACCGGCTCCACGGTGACCGAGGCCGCCAGGCGGCGGGCTGCCGACACCAGGCTCATGGTGCCGCCCGCGCGCAGATCACTGCCGAACGGAACACAATCAATGATCGACCAGGGCGAATGCACGACGACCTGCACTGATAAGATTGCAGGGAGATGAAGTGTGCCGGTGTCGTCCGGTGCGGCAGGCAGTTCGTAGGGACACTGGTCAGATTTCGCTGATACCGCAGAGACGCAGTACCACCCCGAGTGGTGACTATCAACTGCGCATCCCCGGTTGGCTGATCTAACCCCCGTCTTTAATGTAGGCAACGCGGCGCCTGCGGCTCTGGGAAAACGCACATGTTGTTGGCCGATGCGGCTGTATTAGTGACATCTGTTTAGATAAATCTGTTTAGATAGGGCGTGTGTTTATTTTCCTGCGGATAAATCACGCGTATAGTCTCTTTTTGTAGCTTTTCCTGTGCTCTCGCTGATTTGACTCCAACGAACGAAATGATACGTCGGCCAGGCATGGGCAATGAAAAAGATAATAGGGATGGCTGAAGTTGGTTACGAATTGTCCGGATCGTTTGTTTGGGTCGTGTGACAAAACAAACATCGTATCCTATCAGGGAGGGAGGAAATATCGGTGTGTGAAAAAGCAGAACCCTCCATGCGATAAAATGTAGATGCAAGGACGATGCGTCGGAACATTAGTGGCGTAAATAATCACCTCGGACACATTACTAAAACGAACCGAAAGAGCACCGGCAGACCGACTCAAACAACGCCGTTTACGCATCAATCTGACGCAGGGGCGGGTTTTATAGATAGGGAATCGGGCTCAAAATTCACATGATGCCCGCCCTGTGTTGTGGGATACAAGCCACACCGATGCGTTTAATGCGATAAAATTTGCACACCTTGTGGACCAAGAATGTGCGACCTAACTTTGATGGGTCTGAACCAGATCGAGGCGATAATGAGCGTGAGGCACTTGCCCGAAAATTGTGACTTTGCGTCATAGGCTTTACACATTGAAAAATGGGCTGAAATATGGGTTGAAGCCTATGAAAGCTGGGGACTCTAAGGAGCGAGGATAGGCGGTGGGCCCAACGCCAAGCTCATGCGAAAAGACCTAAACTGAAAGGACCTACAATGGCTTTGGGGCCCTTGCCGGCCTTTGAACGGTGGTGGTCACAAGGGACCATCGGGGCAGTACCCCTGAAATGCGTAGGCATCAGAGGGGTCAGCGCCCAGCATATCTTTGGTCTCATCAGTTATCCACTCCCCAACAGCATCAGCCCGCCAAACTATCTCCTATGAGGACCCACGTCAGCCTCCAAGGGTAGGTACTAACAACGCTAGCTGCCGGTGGTGCTCTGAACTATGAGGGCCTCACAACAATCTGAAGGACCCTCAGTTGTCTGCATGAGATTGCATTGGTTTTTTAGCGCCCCGTGCCAGCCCAATGGCCCCAGCCGATCTTTTACCCGCGCCCCGTGGAGGGAGGGAGGGGGAGGGGAGGGCGAAACGGCCCTACCTCTCCTTTTCTGTTGATATCCCCTTAACCCGGCAGGCGGTGGGCCTCCCGGCCACCTTCCGCGCGGTGGGGGGGGCATTTTTGCCCCCCCCCCCCGTATCTCCGAAACTACTGGACGGATCCGTAAAATTCAAACGGCGTTCGATAGCCCCGTCAAATTGGTCATGGGAAATCAAAGTTCATTTATCTCAGGGTCACCGATGACGTGACAGGTCAGGTCAAAGATAAAATGTTTTACCGTTCACAGGGCTTCTAGAGAATGCGCTATAACATCGAATAAAACGCATTTTATCGAAAGTCCGCAATAGGAAGTCAGTTGCCTAATGCCTAGTACATATGTTGCTAGTGGAGGTCACTGATAATACCAGGTTAGGTCACAGGTGCCAGCGTACATCCATTCCGATCGTGGATTCTCCTTTATGTCCTCTGAGCTCAAAGCCATCCTCGCGAGCAAGGGGATAGCCAGCAGCAGGTCGACCGCGTACAATCCAAGAGGAAACGGGCAAGTGGAACGCTATAACGGCATCGTGTGGAAAGCGGTGACGCTGGCCCTCCGATCGAGAAATCTGCTGCTGTAGAACTGAGAAGTGGTCCTGCCAGATGCTCTCCATTCGGTTAGGTCGCTACTTTCAACGGCAACCAGCGAGACTCCTCATGAGCGCACGTTTCGGTACCAGAGGCGCTCGACGACTGGCAACTCTGTGCCGACGTGGCTATCCAAGTCGGGAGAAATCGTCTTGATGAAAAGACATGTACGACAGAAGCATGATCCACTGGTCGACGAGGTGGAGCTTCTTGAAGCCAGCCCACAGTATGCTCACGTCCGGCTGCCGGACGGGAGGGAAACGACTGTCCACATATCAGACATCTCGCCCCACGAGGAACCATTGGTTTGTCTGACTCCAGCGATGTCTCGGATCTGCGCGATGGACTGGACCGCGATCCCCTTCCAGTGCGGGTTCAAAAAAGGTTATGAATTGGCATAAAAGTGATGTCCCTTGGTTCGGAAAGATCAAAAATGAATATCTACCGAATTTCACAGAAAAATATTCACTGGTTTTCATGTTATTAGGCTTTTACTTTTGTGTACCTTTTGGGATCTCTGCTGTTCCTAGCGACTAATTTGGAAGGAATACTTTGGCAGCCTTGAACAGCGGCAGACCTTGCGCGCAAAGCATTGTATACCACCACGTGCTAACGGTGGTTTTAGTCTAAGATGTGAAAATCGTTAGATCTCCGCTGACGTCACAAATTATAAGGGGGCATTCCAATGCATTAGCTCCTTAGAATCCGAAAACTGCAAGTTTGAAATTCAATATCTCAGAATTAAAGCATTTCTTGATGTTGTGAGTGCCCAAACCGGTATTTGCAGGCCATGACCACAAATTTGGCTATCCTAACTCAAAACTAAGGTAAAGGTGGGATGGTCACTCCTTTTAACACAATGACACGGTGTCAAATCTACAAAGCTGAGGGAACTGAATATTTTTCATATGTTCAGCATTGTAAAGATATTAAAAATGGGTGTGGTTCTGGGCAATGGGCAACAGCAACACCAAATCCTCACCAGCCGAACAGGCCTGCAAGTCTGCACAGAGTTGGAGCACAGACAAGATCTCATCAAAACCGTCATGCTTTGCGGCCTGGCCCCTGATCAAGGCTAACATGGGCTAACAGGGCCACAAAACCGATTTGTAAAAATTTTGGATTTTGATCTCCAAAAAAAATGGATGATCTTTTGGATATAATTCCATTAAAAAATCCGCGAATTTTTAAAATTTGGAAAAAACGTTTAATGTGTGGCTACTTTTGGTAGGCTAGTACACTTGTGACTTGACCCTTTCATTATGAATAGTTTGAAGAGTTGGATGGTATAGTACCTTAATAATAATGCAGATTTTCGTAGAACCTCTTCGGAAAGGCGTCGAGCCAACGTAGAGCCGCGGCCGATCTACACACCTGCGCTCGTTACACACGTGCGCTCCCAAGATACTGCACTCAACAAAAACAAAAATAAATTGTTGCGCTTTCAGCGCAGATGAGACATAATACAGTTTGAGTAACTAAATGCAATAAAATTACGTCATATCATGAACAAAATCAGTATTTCTTTATTTAGACTTATTAACTTACCGCTTTCACTTTCATTAAATGATTTGTAAAAATTTGTTTCGATAAATATTAACCAAATATGACGATCAAAATTCTTTACGTGGTTTAATCGTCAGCTTTGTAAGTAGTTAAAAATTTGACCTTGACCTTGTCGTTTGCGTGACTCCGTGACCCGAGAAATGTCAAATTGACGATTTCGGCTTGTAAATTTCACGGTGAGTAAAGTTGACTACCAAATATAGGACCTAGAATCTTGATTTTGTCTGCACGCAACGTACTACGCAGCCATTCTTTTCTCACCCAATAGTTACTTCTTAGGTTAGGATAGTTACTTTGAGGTTTTAGCTCTGGGTTTTATACGGTAAGGTATTGGTCATTGACCTCAATTTAAACCGGTAATCAATGGGCCCCATTTGCATTGCCAGCACGTAATTTCAAGAACGCTAAGCTGGCAGGTGACCTTGCTTGGCCTGGGTGAGAATGCAAATTAAATGGACTAGTGAAATTGAACATCATCCTTTCAATAATCACCCACCCAGGTCACTTTTTCGAATAGCGGGGTTATCTTCACTGGAAATCATTATCTTTTTAAAATATGCCTAGGGTTTCTCGGGATCTTACCCCTTCTTCCCCCCTTCCTCCAGCGAGGTCGAGGCTCAGTCAGGTCCAAGCATTCCATGCCATAGGCATGAAGGCGGGAGGCCCGCGCCGCCCCATTGCGAGGACTGACGTTTGTAACGCTAATCCAATCTCAGGTTGCCCGCATGTCTCGTGCACGGTCGCCATGCATTAACATAAACGGATTTTAAATAAAGACATCGGATGCAGAAACTTTCATGTATTGCATTCTCTACAACCAGCAAACGTCACAGCTGAGCAAGAACGGCAAGTTTCGACGTACACGGCACCCTGGATAATCCGCCCTGCTGGGCATTCGCTCCTATAGTCCACTGGAACAGTGTGTACAAGAATAGGCTCGGTATGATTTATGTGGATAAGCTGCGAGACAGTTGTGGGATAAGTTTAATCGCCAACTTGAACTTGAGCAAAAGCACGGAAACGACTGAACTGTTCGTTAGTTAGGTGAACAATTCAGGTGCGTTGAATCCTTCCATGCTCCTGTGTTAGAATGGTCACTTTTCTAGACAAGGTCTTAGATTCTCCCGACGACAAATGTAGTGGGCCTCCCCCGTTCACAAACTCCGTCCTCAGGCATCTTCCGAGAGCGTCTGATCACCGCGACAGGAGCGAACAGAGAACAGAAAATACCGGTTGGCGGCTCAGCTCGAGAGGTACACTCATCAATCAGGCCAGAGATCCTGCGATGACCTGACCAACGGTGATCATGTGATCAATGATCATTCCAAACAAGCAAGAAACCCTCAGTCGGCGGTACATAGGAACACAGAAGATAACAGGCTGGTTCGAGTGAATTTCGTCCTATCGCAGTCCGAACGTCAGTTTAGCAATGATCTTCAAAAAGTGGTAATGTAATCGGGCAGCCTAGTCGAGAACGAAGCATACAAAACGAAACATTCGAAACATTCAGTGTAAGCCCATACTGCACGCCTTCAGATCAGATCGTGAATGTTTAAACAATATGCAGTAGCTATCTAAATGAATATCACACGTGATCCTAACAGCCGTCGAACACATACGAATGCTCACCGAGACACGACCACCGGGAATAAATAAGCGAAAACGCGTCCAGATGTAATTACAACCAGCTTGGAATCAACGGGTGTCAGTAAAATAATCACCCCCATCCTAATAAAAGCGGCCACGCAACACGCAAGTAAAGCTCGTAAAAACAGTCAACATGACGGACAATTACAAACTGATAAACACAGACACACACAACGAAGCCAGCAGCCAGACACGCCCACCCTGTATTGACATTGTTGCAATGGCCTCGCATTTAATCTCTACTGTCCTGACGGATTCCGCTCAACAGAGCCGACGAAAATCTCGCACGAAACGAATGATAGCTACCCAGTCGTTTTAGCAAGTAGAACATACCTAGTGTGTTCAGTCTCTGGGTACGTAGAGCGCCGTTTTGCCACGGGAAGCGGACTCGTCCACTTGTGTCGCCACTCGCCAGTCGGCGACACAACGGAACAATGGAAAGGAAAGAATAACACAGCACAACGAGCAAGACTGGGCAAACAGACTAGCGGAATACTTGGAACAGGACGAACACATTTAGTGGTTCACGGCAACCAGCGTCTGTAACTTATCCATCGATAAGGTTCGTACGCGCTTTTTAAGTCATTTAATCACTTGAAGCTGTGATGCAATCGCTATGCAACGATATTGCAGAAACTAAGGAATTTAGTTCCAACAAGGTCCAAGGTAAAAGCGCATACGCTGATTTTCTGCAGCGTAATGTAGCAATGCTCCATTGCTCCAAAAACAACATGAGCCATATACCACGTTCTAAGGAATCCGGGTCGAGACGTGAGAACCACCTTTGGAGATGCATATCAAATACTGTGCAATGAGAATTTCCGTTTGAAAGTCGGTGATATATAAAAATACTGCACATACCACACGTTAAATTAGTACCATTCCTATTCCATCACATTGTTTACGCGGAGCCGATGCCGCTCTCCTGTGACGCACAGGGCACCTCCAGTGTCTCCGTGCGGGGGGCGGCAGGATTGGCGCCGTCACCGGCCGCCAGTCGACTCTGCAGCGCCTCTGCGAATGGGTCGCGGCCCGGCTCGGCGGCCTCGGCGCTCAGCGGCGCCGACGGCACGCCACTGTCCCGGCTCAGCGGGCGCGACGCCGCGTCCGCCGGGCACGAGCAGCTGCTGTCCACCGAGGCCTGCGCCAGGTAGGCCAGCGAGGGCGTGGCCGAGGCCGGCGCCGCCATCGTTAGCTGGTAGGGCAGCTGGACGCCGATGCTGTGCAGCGTCACCATGCCGTCCGGCGGCGGCGGCGGCGGCGGCTCGCTCAGCGGGCTCGAGTTGAGCCGCAGGGTGAGCGGTGGCCCGCCGGCGGCGCCCTGCGCGCCCGTCCCGGCCGCCCGCTCCGGCCGCCGCGGCTCCGTCCGGTCCGCCCGCTCCTGGCGCGCCTTCAGAGCACACATCTGGAAGTATTTCTGAAAAGGAGCGCGCGCTCTCAACACATGCCAACACATTTGGAAAAGTTTGCAAAAATTATGTCAAAAAAGTTCAAACAGGTGCCTGATCAGCTGTGAAATAAATAAGACATCACTCGGATAACACATTCCCGCAACGAAACTGCAGGCAGCTTCAAAGCTTCTCAGAAGCGCACACTCCTTTCAAGAGATCGCTATCAGCTTTTCTATTTGCTTTTAGACACTGGGTGGATAAATTACTACAAGCTGCCGATTGGACACACCTGCTTGGCCTTGACCTGCTCGAGGGCAGCCGGCGCCTCCTTGCTGGTACAGGGCGGCTGCAGACCCAGCAGACAGAACTGATGAAATACATCCGCTGTGTGCGTCAGCGGCCGCACCTGTGGAGCAGGAAAACTCCATCAACGACAGGTGTCTGACAGGACACCTCTCAATGACTGAGGATATCACGGCACAAAACCTACTGCAGTATACTCACTCGTTACACCCAAACATCCCAGGCATCCCACACACACGTACCCTCTGCGAGCCGCGCCGGTCGCGCCGGCGTTTGGGTCGGCTGGGGGGCGGCTGCGGCGTCTCTTCCTCCCGCCGCCGGAGGACGAACATGGGCTTGTCGCCGTCGACGTCCGTCAGAGGCCGGTCAGGCTCCGACGGCGGCTGGGGAGTCCGCGGACTCACCGGCGTCCGGGGACTCAGCGGCGTAGCGGCCCCTGAGAAGACAGAATTATGATATGACGTTAAGTGCCGGATACGAGCGATCAGGCTTCTGTTTTAAACATAACAAAACTGCAGCTTACACGACGAAACGTTACCAAATACCAGCTTGGTCAGTCTGAGACGGAAATAAATTTCCACACGTCCGAAACATAAGCAGCACTCAACGCATCCGTTTCCAACCAGCAATGTTGCTCTGCCTCTTTTCGTAGTCCCAATGCGGCTAGTTATTTCCTCCTGGATAGCACGCTAGCGACTCTCAGGCCACTCACTGCTGAAGCCGACCCTGTCACCCACCTGACGGCGTTAGTAGCGCGGACGGCGTGGCAGGCGTGGCGTTGGGCGTGTGCGCCAGCCGCTGTAGGTACGCTAGCAGCTGCTCGCAAGCGGCCAGCTCGGCGCGGTACGGCTCGGGCGGCGCGCGCAGCTCCGTCCCGGCCGGCGCGGCGGCGGGCGGTGGCGCCGGCGGGGGCGGGGGCGGTCGGCCGGTGTCCTCGCGCGCCTTCCGCCTCCGGTCGGCGGCGGCGCGCTGCCACCGCTGCCACTGCTCCACCTGTTGCCGGTATGACTCGTCCGCGGCCTGCCGCTGCCGCCGCAGGTCCGCCAGCTCTGCGCACACACGGCGCCCGGGTCAGCGAGAACGGGACGGGGACGGGGCACCAGCTGGCTTAGGACATGGACGGAGACTGGACTAGATAATGCGTTACAATTTCGCAGTCAGTGATCCCCACCCAGGAATAAAGCGACTGCGTATGAAAAGCAATGTGTGGAAGAACATCGATATAAAAATCTGTGAAAGGCCCAAAATGGATAAAAATAAATCAGAAGCTTCTTGCAGCTATAGCTTACATTATCAATCTCCTTTGTTCTGGTAATACTGAAATACTAATACTGAATTTCCGTCTGTTGCAGTATATAGAGGAAGTGATGAACCGCTTACCTTCATTGAGCATTTTGATATTGGCTTCCGCTGACTGTCGCTCCCGAAGAATGCGATCCTCCTCCCGCTGGTTTTTGTCGATCTCGCTGAAGAACCGATCCCGCTCGTATCGGAGGCTGCGCTGTTTCTGGTTGAGCGTCTCCAGCTCCCTCTGTAAAAATCGAAAAAGATTGCTTCAAGAAAGATTTCAAGAAAGACAAAGTGGTTACTCTCGTTGCGATTAATATGAATGATAAGAAGTATTACTTGATATTAGTTGCTTTGTCCAGCATTACGTCTCCGATTGATAAGCAGTGAAATGAGGGAGTATTTTCATGGGAACTGGTATATAATTTCAGGTTTATCATATATTTGATTTACTGTGCTATAACAGCGATATACATAAATGCAGGCATAATTAAATGCAGGCATTACTAAACGCATGTGATGAGCATGGGCTAGACTTAACCCTCGCATGTGTGCGGCGTTTGTCAGCTTCAAACGTGTAGGGGGGGGGGGGGTCGGTTGGACCCCCCCCCCCTTGCCGTTTGGCCTCTGGTCGAGCTAGAGCTTCGCGGAAAAACGAGCGTGTTGCCCGTCACGAGACGAAACCGATGATACCCAATTTTAAGGTCCTAGGTCATTGGTTGACCTTCCAGGTCAGGTCAATGACCCAAAAGTCGGGAAAATCGGGACCTGTTAGAAAGTCGTAAAGTGTGGATGCTATGGGGGTTTTCGGGGTGCTGATTACGAATATCGTGTTTGTTTTGATCACAGATGATGTCTTTAAGCATTTAGACCAGGTCGGGTCAGGTCAGGTCAGGTCAGGTCAACCAGTAGGGGTGGTGACGGGTATTCGTAGCAGGTGTCAACCGCCTCTGACAGCTTCGTAACATGTTACGAAGGCACCAAAACTACTTCGTAAATGTTCAAATGGTTGCTAAATTCGAATGCAGCTCCAAAAACTAGCCTGGAAACATGTCAAACTCGAAAAAGTGAACCGAGATCACCAAAGGTCAATGACCTGACCTGAACTTCAGCCTTCAGGTGACCTTGACATCCACGCTAATGCATGGGAGCAACATCGAATCACATGTTTGAACGTTTGAAACCACGAAAAGCTTGCAAACGCGCGGCTAATGTGAGCGGACATGCGCCGAATCGCGATTCCGGCCAAACATGGCCTTAAGAAATAGGTCACAGGTCAAAGGTCACTTGGGTCAGGGTCATGAAAGTTCCAGAGTAGGTGTAAAATTGATTAACTCGAGGGTACTGAAAGTTTCGTCACGATCGGCCGCTTTTTGCGCGAGTTATTTGCGAAAACCATGGGGGTCCATCCGGCCCCCCCCCTTACACATGCGAAGGTTAGGTAATCATTAAAAACTTAGTGACTTTAAAACGTTTCAGGGGCTGACAGGATAAGCCCATTTCCCAGACCTATCCACAGTGTGGTCTTTCGCTCGATAAAATAACGTCAGTGCATGCCACCGCATACAGTGTTGAAGCTTCGGACCCTGGGCCTGGTGCATACCTTTTTGGAGTCATAATCGCGGATGGTGCGTTTGGACTTTTTCAGCTCGTTGATCTCGCGCACTATCTTCTCCTCCTCCCTGAGTCTGAAGTTGTGCGTGTGGATCTGAGTCTCGAGCCGCTGCACGGCGTCGTCCACCTGCTTCTCGGTGCGATATTTCAGCTTGTCACGCAGTTTCGTTATAGCTTGACGCTGAAATGGTAGATAACCATGGTCAGAGGAGAAATGCTACCGACTGTGAAAGTTGCAAGCTTCCTAATTACGTTTTGATGATATTTTTAACTAAGCGAGCAGGGAATCAAGGCGTAAAGTGACACTATTCAAGGACTCATAAAGATGACGTGGAAAGAGTTGCTAAGTGATTAGATAGATAGATAGATAGATATGCTTTATTTCAGACTCTGGGTCCATACTCTTAAATAGATACTGATGATTTCAGCCAGTGCTGCCAGTGAATGATTACTGTAGTTCCACAACATTCTCGTCATTTTCAATTATTAACTTTTTCTGCCAAAAGCAGCGCCTTGTTTTACACCGTCAACACCAAGGCACCACACAACGTTGCCACATTCGCCTGGCCTTCCCGTTTGCCTGGTTAGTGGGGCGGGCACACTACGAGGTGAGGGCGTACCGTTTCTGTGATGAGCCGCGCCAGCGACTTGAGACGCTCGTCGGTCAGCCGGTGCTGCTCGTAGAGGGCTTCCCGCGCGGTCCGCAGCTGCTGCAGACGCTCATCCACGCCTTCGTTCAGGTTACAGCCCTTCTGCAGGTCGGGACGGGGGAGGCTACTGTGAGTCTGTCGCAGGTGTGCAACAGCCTGTGTAAATACAACATTAGTAAAGATGGCTTGGGCAACACAGAGTCACAACCAGAGTCCAAAGGTTCAAATATTCATGCTACATTACTGAATACAATAAATGATTTATGAGAGCTGAAGCATATCCTTCCACTCTGAAAGCAAAATTAAGCTTACCTACTGGGACTTGACAAAAAATGTGAATGACACTACACATATATGAAACTGACATCAAGGGTGATATGGTTTTGAAATTGCTTGACAATTATCAGACACCTACTTAAAAATGAAAAATACAGCATTTAAAAGACAACTTACCAGCTGTTTTTCCAAGTTGTCAATTTGACAGCTTAAATCATGTTTGCTCTTTTCAACTTTATTTTTATCAGGTGGTTTTGGAGGAGCTTCTTCAAGTTCAAACTCTCCACCATCTGGGTCTGCCATCACTGATTGAACTTCTGAAACAGGCTGTGAGTATGTTCATACAATGCATGGTACTTAGTACTTACCCTTATCTTACCTGTGACTCTGTGAGGGCCACATAACTAGTGGAATCATACTGTATCAAACTTATAGATTTGACTAGGATTTGCTCTAAAATGACTTAGGCAGAATTATTTCCAAACCCTCAACTGAGTGGAAAAGGTGTGAGACAACAAACTGCTTGTAATTTAAGAATTGTGGCAATGTTCTTGGTAAAGAAGCACAGTAAGAGTCATGCTGAGAAAATGATCTAGAATGAGCTAGAAAGGTAGAAAAAAACTAGAAGGAGCATACAAGTCTGAGTCAATTTTGTGAAGTAGCAATTTAGGTTGGCAAAACACAGAAAATAAAGTACAATTCTAGCATCAAAAAGGCAGTTACAATAAGTAGTGTACAATAAGCATGTTCCCTTAGCATGGAACAGGATGAGGCACTAGGCAGTAAGGGTACAGCATGGTGCAGGGCGCAGGCACATCAAATCCGTGCACAATTATAGACAGTGTAAATTGTAATGATCTCACTGGCTTGATACTTGATAGCTAAGTATCCTTATTGCAGGCACAGCACAGTCATGCTACTTTAACTCATGCTATTTTAAGTTAAGTCTCCTACGTCTACGTGACATGTCATTGGCATCCTGAAAATGATTCTATTTCCAAGTAAAAAATTATCATTCCTGGTTGAAGATCCCCATTTCAGTTGAGTTTGTTGTATTTTCATTTGAATCAGTTACCAAAATATGGTAGCCAGAATTTTTCAAAAATAAGTAGGTATGCCAGCAATCATTTCCTCAATATCAATATGGTGACTTCAGGTGACCTAATTGACCTTGAAAGGTCACTTTGATAGGTAGTTCACACCAACTGCAATTATCAAGGTCAATTATGAGTCACATTTTAATTGTCAGCCTATTTCTTTATAAATTTGTTTAAGCCACATAACAAGCAAAAATGGGAAAGGACTTAAAAAGTTAAGCTTGCCATACCTTGACCTCAACCTGATAGGTACCTACCATATCCAGCGATCCAACAGACGAACATATAGAGCGAATTGAAATATCTGACGCTTACCTCAATAATGAGAAGTAGGTACCTGCCTGAACGCCTGCAGCTACGCTATATTACCCCAACAACGATTTAAATCCTATCGCCGGGCTTCAATTATCTCCTCTGCGGGATTTTCTTACGCAACAATCCAACAGAAATATTTGTGGTGGATTTTGTCAAACATGCGGCTCAATTGTCCGACTAAATCAAAGCTTCCATATGTTCCATATAGTAGAAATACTTCAACAAGAATACGGGAAAGTGAATCCCATGAGCTCACAACATGCCGCCTAATCAGAACCGCAATACTCACCGCTCTCGAGTCTCGACCTCGTCATTAATCAGAATTCAGACATCAGCAGGGGTGTAAAGGCATAACCACGCCCAAAAAAGTAACGCGGCCGCGGACAAGCTGTCATAAGGCCCGATAAGCAGTGGTCGATAAAACTTCCAACGTACCAACGCTCGTTGGAGCAAGATATTAGCAATACTTGGAAGAGCTGGAGACAGTCCGCCCGTCTACATGGATGCTTCCTTACGCCTAAAATACAGCATTGACATGATTTTCTAATCGTCCGGTGCTGTTATCGGCTGCTCGGTACCGCGTGTATTTTCCCTCATTCACTCCTGGTCACCCTTCGGTCACCCCTCACTGGGTCGGGCCAGTCGGCTATTTTTATCCTCTTTCCGGCTAGGCCACCCGCTGAGCTCCCGCCGTGCCGCGCCGTCTGCGAGGGGCCTGACGCTTCTGCCGGCAGAGGTTTCTCCAGGTGTCTCCAAGGAGCCATCGTAGCGCTAAGGGTGTGCTCCGCATACACATACATTGATTTTCGCCCTTACTAGCAGGGCCGCTGGCACGCGTTGGCAGCGCCCTGCGGGCATTTTTTCGCTTAGGGTCATTTTGTGGTAAGGAGGACCAGAAAATCACCCTTCCAACTTTCTCCAGGCCTGGGTGTTTTATCGAGCGCGCCTGAAAACGCACAGTGGACCGAAATCGCACTTCGATTGCGTTACTTCGTATTAGGTAATGCGATCAAAAGTGCGCTCTTTTCTCAATCAATAAGGACAAATGCGTGTAAGCACACATATACACTTTTAAATTAAAAGCTTTAAAATGCTGAATTTCAACATCACTACGCTGATGATAATCGTTAGTTGTTTCAGACTTTGGCGCGAAAACGTAGGCCTTCAGATCCACCGTGCGGCCGGTCACCGTATGCAGTAGTGTGATGGTGTGAGTTGGGTCTGGGGAGTCATGGCCGTGTGGGGAGAAGGTGAGCAGATACCGGTGTGCCGACGCGGCGGATGGTAGTGATTAGACAGTTGTGACCTGGTGTCCTGACCTGAAGTGACTGACACCTGAAATTTTCAGGATAGGTGGCAAAAGGCTCATTCCCAGACGTTGTGCCAAATTTTGCGGCGCTACGCGACACCAACTTTTACGCTATTCGCGAAAAAACTTAGGGAGGCTGCTTCCCCCCCCCCCCCGCCAGGCGAGGGCTAAGTTGGAGACAGTGATGGGACTAAGATGTTCGTTGGAGCAACTCCAAGCATTTTATCGACCTCTGCCGATAAGGGGGCGGGGCGTTATCCCTCAAGGGCATACGCGGCGGAACGGGAGGGGGGTGGGGCATGCACCGGGGCACCGTGCCCTCCCCCTTGATTTTGTCATTTTAACATAGGGTAACTGTGGGGAAGACGCACCCCTGGGTTAAACGCCTCCCCTAAAAAAATCGTATTTCTTATCGACGGATAGGTGTTTTATCCTGTCTTTCAGAACAGTCAGCTGCTTGTTTACGTAGGTCTCTATTTCCAGTTCTGCATCTTGAGGAGCAGCGTGGGTAGGTGCTGATGTTGGTTTTGGGTGTTGTTTTTGTTGTTTTTACAGAAGATTCCTAACATTTTGATACCCTCTTTATATCACAAAACTTGCTATTGTGCACATCACTCAAAACTGCGTTTTATTGTCATTCTGTTGAACGTATTATGCTGCGGCGTTAGTGGCGCGTTTTTTGTCAATATTCTGTTGACCGGAAATGGAGTGGATGGGGCAAGACGCCTACTCGATGCATGGGGCAAGACGCCCCCAGTTTTCTGAAAGGGGGGCGTTTTGCACGGTGGTGAGAGTGCAGGGTAGCGCCCTGTAGGTCGGGGCCGAAAAGGCCTCTCCCTGTCCTTTTTTGCTGATATATCCTAAACGACTGCAGATATCGTCACCAAACTTTCAGGACTCCTCCGGGCATCGATTTTACACATCGCAACAAAATTTTATTCCAAAGGCTATGATAGGTTGACCACAAATGACGTCAGAATGACGTCAAGTTCTGCCATGTTCATCATTTTCTGTTGATGGATGGGGTGGGGGCGCTTTGCACATGGGTGTGGGCGTATTACCCAGGGTATGGGGCAAAACGCCCTTTTGTAAGGGTATGCGAAAACCTTTTTGGGGGGTTAAATACCACACGCAGGTGTCTTTTCTTGGTCTCAAAGTGTAGTAAAAAGAATGAGCTACATGATGGTGCCCAAAGGTTTAAGTAATCTGTGTTGGGTTGAGTGTCAGAAGGTTTCGCGCTTAAGGGGGGCGTTTTTGACCTATTCACCCTAAGCCCTATTGGCGTTGCATGGAAAGAATGGGACCAAAAGTCGGCAGTGCCCCCCCCCCCCCTCTTTATTGAAGGTGTTCCGCCGCTACTGCTCAAGCCTCAAGGGGACGCCATATAGCTTTAGAGATGAGCGTGAAGAGGCTATAGCTCATCTCTAAAGCTTAGAGGGGCGCTTCAGCCTGTGAGGCCTCGGGGCGACCATGCATGCAACAGAAGGGCACTTATGAAGGCAAAAGGGGTGCTTTCATACTAAAGATCGTTAGCCCTCGTTGGCCTGCATGCCAACGAGGGGTGCTTCTGAGGCCCATAGATGATAGAAAGAGGGGTCAGGGGCGCCTACGACGCTCACGCGACCTAAGAGCTCAGTGGCGCGGGAACCACTTTCAGGCTGGGTGGGGGGGGGGGGGGGGCACCCGGCCGGCACACCTGATACTCCCCGGAACCTAGGGTACCCCCAAATCTAGTTTTTCATCGGTCTTACGCCATTTATTTTTTCACTCCTGTCTCCTTAAACATTTCAGCGACAAGAACAAAACAAAAACATTTGCAAAAAAGTGAGGTATTCCGTCTCAGCTGAGTCTAGGAACTACCTACCTAAGGTCCATTCAATCCACTAACTACCTCCATTCAGTTTTCCTTTGTGACCCATAACCCCTAATTTGGGGAGGACAAGCTGCCTCGACGGTTCCTGGCCCTACGAAAAGTTGTGGAGGCAGGCTGCCCCCACTGCCCCCCCCCCCCGGTTCCCGCTCCTATACCTAAGTAGGAGCTAAATCCAACTATCGTTTTAAGTCGGTCACGGTGTTTTTTATAACTCCCACCAAGTTGACTTAGCGAACCGTAAAAGGCACTTAACTCAAAATGATTCATGGAAATTAACCCGCGCCCTGGTGGGGGGGCTATTTTTTGCCCCCCCCCCTCCAGACTTTTCAATATATCTCCAGAACCGCTGCGCCGATCGTCACCAAACTTTCAGTACCCTCCCGGACATCAATTTTACACATTGTGACCAAAAATTTTTCCAAAGGCTATGATAGGTTGGCCGGAAATGACGTCAGAGTGACGTCATGTTCTGCCGTTTTCGACCCAAAAAAGGGTTTCGCGGGAAGAGCTGTCAGGCCTATAGCTTTGCAAATACAGAAAAACGATAAAGACATAAAAGCTGTAGAATTGACAGGGCTACAAAACTGCTATCTCGGATTTTTAAAATTTTTGGATTTTGACCCCCAAAAATCAAAAAATAGATTTTTTGATTATAATAGCCGAAAAATCCAAAAAGTTTTTTGAATTTCGAAAAAACCGGAATATATGTGATAGTCCTTACCGCCTTCTATCTACATACCAAATTTGAGATCGATACCTCTTTTTTTGGCCAAGTTACAGCGAAAAAACTGTTCAAAATTGATGACGTCAAATTTTCAAACTCAATTTTTAGCAATTCTAGACCTTGTAGCGCAAAACAAAGACCACCATTAGACTCCCCGTGACGAGCTGCATCGAATCAATACCCATTTTATGCAAAAATATCAACTTTGAAATTTGACCTTTTTTGACCTGACCTTGACCTGACCTCCACCAGAAAGTGACCTAAGCCGTACCTGATAGTCTTATAACCAACACCATTGAGTTGGAAATGAAAAATTGGCCATAAAACATGCATCGCACAACCTTAGTACCTAAAGTTAGGTTCATGTGACCTGACCTGTGACCCTTGGTGACCTGACCTGTGACCTGACCTGGTAATGTCAGTGACCTCTTATAGTAATATATGTACTAGGCAACTGACGCCCTATCGCTGATTCTCGACAAAATGCGTTTTCTTCGGTGTTATAGCGCATTCCCTAGATGACCCGTGAACGGTGAAACATTTCATCTTTGACCTGACCTGTGACGTCATCAGTGACCCCGAGGTCAATGAAATTTGGTTTCCTTCAACAAATGTGACAGGCCTTTCGAACGCCGTTTGAATTTTGCGGATTCGTCCAGTAGTTTCGGAGATACGAGGGGGGGCAAAAAATAGCCCCCCCCCCCCCCACCAGGTCGCGTTATAAACAGACCCCACCAGGGCGCGGGTTAATAATATGCTATAAAAATATAGTGGATTATAGTGGATTTATAGTGGATTTCCTCCAGCCAGTTTCCTGACATTTACCGGCTGCGGGCTGAGACCTTTGGGCTAACGTCAACGACAAAGTAAAGCTTTTCAAAACAAAATTATTCCATTCGACATGCGGCTCGAAATATTCGTTCTGCGGCATTTTTGCCGAACTCATATAAGTACATATGTACATTAGAGCGGACCATGCAGACGTCGGCTGTATACCTAGTTATACCTATCTTTTCACTTTTCACTGTGTTTTTCACCTAATCCCAGAGATCTGCGATTGACCTGAGTGAGACCTTAAAACTGTGGATAGTGACGATAGCTACATTCTCCATACCATCAGTTACCTGCATACTTAAGAAAATATCTAACACAAGAAAACGGCTAGTGACAAATTAGCCACCAACGTCAAACGTTGAGG